GCTGTCCTGCAGCCTGTAAGGATAGGGTCGTGGTCTGTCATTGTGTGTTAGCTGCTCATCTCCCTCAGGGTATGGTCCACTTAGACAATGATGGCCACAGGTCCAGTCCACCTGTGTGACTCTTGTAGGTGCAGCCATGCCCTGAAAGAAATGAGGTCTGTTCTCCTCTCTGCCCTGTGTGGATCATAAGTGAGGGCTGATCTGTCATGCCCGATGACCTTTACCCTGAGGTCTGGTCACTCACCCTCCTTGCCAACTAGCTCTTCTGTCCTGGGTCAGGTCCAGTGATCAGCAGAACTCTGGTTGTTTCCCCTGGTACAGGACTCTCGGGGGCAGGGGGTTGCAGGGTGAGTGTGAGTAGTTGGCAGATTCAGAGTAAGCTGAAACCACTTTCCATTTAAAATTGGATATATTGGCCTTGAAATTCTGGTGTGCAGGCCACTGAAGTTGTATGGGGGCGTGCAGTGGGAAAACTGGGCTAGTAGCAGCCGTGCTTGCCATGGATCATCTCCCTGTTCATCGTTCCTGAGGGTCCACAGAATCTTTACTATCTCTGGATAGGGTAGAACCAGCCGAGTATTGCAGAGGGTCCGAGATCTCCAGGAGATGCTTTATCCAGTGAACAGGGCACGGGCAGTTCCAGTGCTGTCTTCAGTGGAACCTCCACAAGTGAGTTTCACTTGACTCAGGACCTGACTCCTTTACTTTTCCTGACTGCTGATGACTGGTTCTCTCATCAGTCTGAAAACTAGAAGGCAGATTCTTCATACTGAAGCCCACGTGTCTCCTGGCTCAGAAGTGGTGAACCGTCTTCCCTGAGAGATGCTTTGAGATGCTATTTATCTCGAGAGATGGAGATGACATAATCCACAGACTGTGTTCACAAGTACACACAGACACGCTTGTCCTTGGTTGAGGGAAGATGTGAATCTGATGTGTGCACAGCAGAGTTCTGTGTGGTGCTAAGGCCATCACTGTCCCTGGAGAACTGTCCATTGTGGTCCACATGTCTGCCTACAGATCCCTGACTGGAGGGGGTGCAGGGCAGCCCCTCCAGAGGAAACTTCTGGGATTGCTCTGGAAAAGGGTGGCAGAAGGCTTGTGCCCCAGAGCATCGCATCCTGCAGATGAGGGGTCATGGGACCCTCTCCAGCCCTGCTTGAGCGATACCTCTCAGGTGCTGAGACTACTCAAGTTCTGAGTGCTCTCGGGCTTGAGGCCAGGAGAAGAGAGTGGTCAGTGCTGCTCGTGTTCTCCCACAGCAGGCCGGAGACGGGTGGGAAGCTGGCTTTCTTCCATATTCGAATAGAAACAATGAACAGACTCTCACCCTCTGTGAAAACAAAATAGGAAACTCCTTTCGAAAGCATCATGTCCTTAGATCCAAATTTCAAAGTCAAGGCATCAAAATCTCTACGATGGATTAGTTCAGCAGCATTTATAAACAAATATCTTTTGGCAGCTGTTGCTCCTTCCTCAGCATTCAAACAATTCAAAGAGAGCATAATAGTATACAGTATCAAGATTCTCTGTGTATTTTCCATCTTTGTACGCTTTATTTTAACCTCTATTTCGTTTATTTTTACTTTTATATTCTCTGTATCTCTTTGACCTGGAATAACTCTGTAGACCAGGCTCTCCTTGAACTCTCAGAGATCCGCCTGTCTCTGCCTCCCAGGCATTGGGATTAAAGGTGTTTGCTACTACACCTTGAACTCACAGAGATCTGTTTGTCTCTGCCTTCTAGGCACTGGGATTAAAGGCGTGTGCTACCACACCTTGAAGTCACAGAGGTCAATCTCCCTCTGCCTCCCAAGTGTTGGGATTAAAGGCGTGTACTACCACACACAACTTCTCTTTTTCTTACTTTTTTTTTTTTAAGAACTTTTAACTTTTAGCTTGCATATATTTTTAACACACTGTAAATCATTTAAACATTTTCTTTATCTTTGAATCTCTTTACTGTATATCTCTCTTTTTCTGACCACACGAGCCTTTAAATTACTGAGCAATATGAGTAGGATTAAAGCCGTGGCTTTGCCAGCTAGATCCAGTCCATTCCTTAGCTTTCTGGCCTCATGGCTGAGGTACCGGTTGTAGCCTTGTTTACTGCCACAACTCTACAGCATTTCAAGGTCCCTGCCAGCAAGCGAGCTTCAGCAGCCTGTGCTTGCAAACCACACGAACCGCCTGTGTAAAAGAGTCAGAGTTTGCCGTGGCAGGACAGCCCAGAAAGCCAGCATTTTTAAACGGCGCAGCTTTTTTCCTGCTACGGCTGAAAACCGAAAAGCATGTGTTCAGCTTTTTGTCAACACCATTTAAGTGTTTCGTGGCAGGACCTCTTAATGAGCTGCAGGGTTTTGCAGCTGAAGCTGAGTCAGGAAGCCTCTCTTAGATGAGAGCACTTGCTTGCCTCTAGCAAGCGGAGCAGACCCAAGAAATTTCTGCTACCAAGAAAACATGCTTCACTCCATTCTTTCCCAAGCTTTCTCAGGCTTAATTTGTGGATTCAGTTAGCCACATGTCTGGGCGCCAAGCATCCAAACAGCCTAGGCTCCCACAAAGCCAGTACGTTAAACTTGAGTTATTTCTGTGCTTCAGAGTTCTGTGTTTGAGTTGTTTTATAATATTTGTCTTCTATAGTCTGAGTAGAAGTGCGGGCTGTCCTTAGGGACAGTGACAGTAGGCAAGTCTCCGGGCAGGACACCAGTTGCACTTGGGGAAGGCGGTTGGGGTTGACTCAGCTTGGTTCTCACATTTAAGAAGATGCACCCCTCAGGCTAGCTGCAGGCCATTCTGCTCGTGAAGCATGCATCTTCTCAGGCTATAACTCTGGTGCTCCTTTGCTGAGCCCCTGAAGTGCTGACTGGCCTTTCTGGGTTCAGGCACTGCCCCCACAGCCTGCTTCTTTCTCTCCAAGATCTTTGGAGTAGGAGGTCTTAGAACCACCTAGTCCTGATTCTGCAGTGATAGGCTGGAGGGTCTTCTGCTGACTTGTCACCTCTGCTCCCGTGATGCTCAGGACAGAGCCTGGATCTTTGCCTTATCATGAAGTGCTGTCTGTCTAACTGTCCTCGGGGTTATTGATCTGTACTCTTTAGCACTTTATTAATTAGTCATGCGAACAAGGTCCTGTGGCTGGTCTAGACTCTGTCGCTGCTACTAAGTGCCTGTTTGTTCTGGTTGGGCCGAACTCTAAACAGCCTTCTTCCACCCTGAAGGTCTTCTTGCTAATCTGAAACCCTTGCTGTGGTCCACGCCTCCGGTGGTCCACCTGAGTTGGCGTCCGTTGGAGACAAGTGCTGTGGATTTTATTTAAAACCTGAGGCAGTCAAATGATTCCTAGGAGCTGCTCTGGCTCCTGGCTTTAGTCAGGAAGAGCAGGAATTAATATTTAACTGTCTGTGTTAGCACATTGAGAACAGATCCTGACCTTCAGTGTCTCGGCCAGGCCCTCGCTGCCCTGTGGTTAACCCTTCCCAGGTTAGCTCCCAGCTCAGCTCAGAGGTGTCCCCAGCCACTAAGCCTAGTGCGTCTGTCACAGCTGCACTGATGAGCATGAGGATGAGACCTTTCCAGGATCCAAGATGTGAGAAGAGCATCAAGGAGGGGCCTGAAGGAGCCAGGGTACCCCAGGAGCTGCTCTGTGTGGTCACAGCGATTTTCTCCAGGGCTCCTGTTTTATAGACTTGGAGGTGTTTTCACCCCAAACATCTCTCCTCCTGAAGAGTAGAAAGTGTTGTTCCCCTCTAAGTGGATGCCCCTGGAGCTGTGGTGTGACTTCAGCCTTCAGAGTCTCAATGGGGACTCATGGCTAGTCCTGAAGCTTAGTGTGGTGGTTTCTGGGGATGTTACCAAGCACTGAAAAGTGTTGTGCCTTCTTCTCTTACCCCTGTGTTACAACACTCTCCTCAGTGCAGAGACCCGGCCCCTAGGAGTGAGAAGCCCCAGGACAGCTGTCTTCTCCATGAGCAGGGAGTGGGTGGAGCCCTCCCGGCCTTCCTGGCAGAGGTCTTATGTGTGGCTCTTGATGAGTCTTTGGTCCCCATCCCCTATACTCATCAGCGTTCCCACAAAACGAGAGGCTGGAGAGGAGGCACATGAAGTCACCTCTAACTGGGAGGGGCTGCTGGGCTTTTACCTTCTGGGCAGCCATTAGAGGGTTTGGTTTAGTTGGAAGCTCCCTTCGAGGAGCCAGATCCTGAGATCCTGACGAGGGAATGCTCACTCGGCTCATTGTGGGCTGAGACCAGTCACTGCTCTGGGAGTGGCCATGTTGTATCGGACCCCAGGGCTGGGAAGTTGGCTCCTGTAGCAGAGGCTCCCAGGGATGTAGCCACAGTTGGAACTGTTTATTCTGCACAAATAAAGCTGGGCCCTTTTGAGAAAAAAGCACAGGTGGGAGCATGCACAGAGACAAAACGAAACACGACAGCAGAATGTACACATTTGTGCATCTTGCAGCATAGTATGGGACAAATGGGAAGGGCTTCATGGCCTCAGCAAGCAGGTAGCTGATCAGAGGGACTGGTGTTTAAAAAGACTGGAGAGAGAGCAGGAAGGATGTGGCTGGAGCAGAACACAGGAGCCAGGCTGCTAGACAGTACCTTCACTGGCTGTGAACTGAGATTTTCCCCAGCAGCAGAGGCCGCCCAGGAAGGTGATGCAGTGTTCTGTGCCTGGCAGCTGACCACTTACTTGAAAAGCACAATCCCCCAGCCTCATGTGGCTCCTGTTGATGCCCAGTATGAGAGTGCTTTGGGCCTCTCCCTGAGCAGAGAGCCACTCACTGTATCAGTGTCTGCCTTGGGATTTGGATAGAACTAAAATCCCTCACCTATAGGGCTAAGCCAGCCATGTCCAGGCTATGGTAGGGAACCTGGGAGCCGCATGTGGCCTCCGGGACATCAGGATGGTCTCTGTTTTCAGTGTGGCAGCATGGTGGGGAGGGTCTGCACTCCAGGCTCCCTGCCCATGCTGACGTGCTCTTTGCTCCACAGTGTGCAGGAGAAGAGAACTGGGTGGACAGCCGGACCATCTACGTGGGACACAAGGAGCCCCCTCCAGGGGCAGAGGCCTACATTCCACAGAGATACCCCGACAACAGAATCGTCTCCTCCAAGGTAGCCTCACTTTCTGCTCTGAGTTTCTGCCCGAGGGAGGGTGCACAAGGGACAGCACCTCTGAGCAGCACTGGTGCTCCTGTGCAGCTTCCCTAGGCCGTCACTGCTCTCCCGCAGTCACAGTGCTCCTGACTACTGTCCCTGTGCCAGGCAGCACCACCCCACTCCTACAGGGCTGTCAGGGTGCTTTGCTGGGCCTCACCCTCTCCACTCCTCTTTAGTCTCCCCCAGTAGAGCTTCAGACTTGAAGTGTAAGGCATGAGTCCCATCTCAGTGCTGCCCCTTCCCCATACACCACCTGGCTGTGGACGGCCAGCTCAGTGCCACAGAATGGGAGGAGGAGTGCAGCTGGGTCTCCTCACTCAGTGATTTCAGACAAGAGGATGAGAAGCAGACATCCCCCAAAACATGCATTGGTGTAACATGTCTGTACACTGTGTGTGCATTGCACGTGTTGCATGTGCGTACCGTGTTTGGGTGTGTGAGTGTGTGTGGCCAAGGTGCAGATATGCAAGTGACACCCAAATGTTCTGAGATGCAGGTAGGGTCCCAAGAAGGGAGCCGGTGTAATGGGCACCTGGTTGTTGTGGCATGCACCGCTCTCTGAAGGAGCCGCTGGCACCACAGCTGCTCCTGTGCGTGTGCTGTGAGGTCAGCTGAGCTCTCCTTTGAACTCAGAGCCCTGCATTTGTTGAGAAGGTTTTATGACCCTAAAGGTTAGCTTCTCTAGGAATTTTTTAAGTATGGTTATTTATTTTGTAACAGCATCATTAAAGTATTTACAATAGCTTTTGTCCAGAAGCACAACACAGGCAAGTAAAATACACTCCTTAGTAAGACCCACCACACGAGTGTCCCCTGAGGTGACACGGGCTTGATAATGAGGAGACAGCTGACAGAAGCACACCTGCCGTCCCATCTGGGAAGGGGAGCCCTCCGCTAACAGACCCAGTGCCCCCCTACCATGGTGTGTGCATGTAGTGCGTGCGTGCGTGTGTGCGTGCGTGCGTGTGTGTGTGCGCGTGTGTGTGTGTCCGTGTGTATGTGTGTCCGTGTGTGTGTGCGTGCGTGTGTGTGCGTGTGTGTGTCCGTGTGTGTGTGTGTGTGTGTGCGTGCGCGCGCGTGTGCCATCTGCGTGTAGACGGGATGCTTGTGAAGAGCTGAGCACCCTGACTGAGCTCTCTGAGAGCAGTGTTTGGAGAGCGAGGGAGCCCCATCCTCACTCCTTTGCTTTCGGCCGTCTGTGGCCCACGTTCACTCTGAGAGGCTTTATCTTCTGTTCTTGTCCCTGGAGAACAGGAACCACCACAGCCTTCTTGTTTTCTGGAAAGGAAATCCACAGAGAGGTTGTGTGGGAATTGCAGTTCCCAGGGGTGTTCAGGAGCAATTTCTCCTAGAGAGGCTCCTTCATACCAGGAATCTTTTGAGCAGGAACCAGCAGAATTAAGTCAACACTCTTGGCAGAGAGGGGCCAGAGGGAGGACAGGCCAGGAATTGGCAGAACCACTTGAGCCCGTAGAGCTTCCTAGCAGGCTCTCGGCATGAGGAGTGAGCACCTGTGGCGCACACCAGTGCCTCATCTCAGTGACAAGTAGCCAGCGATGTCTCCGAAAAGTACGCACAGCCTGGCCCTTGGACAGGAGGCAGGGCTCTGGGCCTCCCCTGACACTGGGCTTATGCAACCCGAAGTGCAAGTCTGCGAGGCATTGCCGGGAATTTATAATTGTTGCTTAAATAGCAGCTCAGGTGCATGGGAAGTGCTAAGTTGTTCAACAGCGTACAAAGGCTCTGTAGATTATGTCTACAGTAGTGTGTCCGTGCATGCAAGGCTGTTTGTTTCTACCTTGGAAATGTCAGAGAGCCTCAGAGCCTAGCGGCTTGGTTAACAGAGAGCAGTGACAGTGTTTGTTGCAGGAAGGTCTCAACATGCCTACCGTTGCATTAAGCCCCAGCCTGTGCACAGGCAGGGGTGTTGTTACTAGTGTAGTGGTTAGCCAGAGTTTCCATTTCAGCTGTGGGGACTCACTCTCATGGAAAAAGAGAGATGGAAATGACTGCCTTCCTGGCTCCTCCTGGCCTCTGGCCACACATGAGGTCCCCTGCCCTGTGTCTGGGGAGACTGGTCTCAAGGACAGTGCTGCTCATTGCCTTGTGCAGAATGATCCTTGTGCAGAATGATCCTGGGCATGAAATTCGCAGGGATCCTTGCTTTGCCTTCAGGAGGTTGCCAAAGTAAATACTGGCTCCACCGGCACTGCCTGTTGCCCCAGCCCATACCCCGTATGCTCAGGATTATTGTGAAACTGATTACCTCTGCCACTTTGGATATACTGTTTTATTGATGGATGTTTATACAAATGACTTCCATATTTACCATGTCACTTAAACACTGAGCAACCTTCTGAGGCTACAACTTATTATGAAGAAACTAAGGCTTGGGGGCAGGAACATGTCAGTGACCACAGGGAACATAAGTGACCTTCCACCATACTGTTCTCAGAGCATGGACTTCCTTCTGCAGGGCCATTATCCCCCATGGCTCGTGATATACTCACCCATCGTGATAGACCCTCATCTCCCAACACCAGCAGTCCTGCATAGGTAGCATTGAGACTTCCTATGATTGATAGCCCTTTCCTGATCACAACGAACAGTGGTGCGTTGACTCCATACGAGCTGATTACAGGCCAGCATCTGGTTCTGTGCTTTTGTGGGGTAGTCAGGTATAAGCCTGTGGGCTGGTTCCATCTCCAGTGGATAATGGCTGACACTCTGGGACCTTCTTGTTTCCTGGCTGCTGGCAGAGCAGAAAAGTGCCTCGTTCCTCCCGGTGTGTCTCATGACAACGTGTAACAACATGTAGAATAGGTAGGACTTCTGTGAGCCATCTTCCAGGCCAGGGACAGAAAGCTAGAGATTAGTACACCCAGGGGAGCAGGAGGCTGTATGCACATGAAACATGTCAGCAGGGGTACCGCTGCTCAATGACAGAACACAGAGAGGCCAGTGGGTACCCTCAGCTCAGTGTGAACATGGAGAGACCAGTGGGCACCCTCAGCTCAGTGTGAACACGGAGAGGTCAGTGGGCATGTTCTGCTCAGTGTGAACACAGAGAGGTCAGTGGGCATGTTCTGCTCAGTGTGAGCACAAAGAGGCCCGTGAGCGCCCTCTTGTCAATGTGAGAACCAGAGAGACCAGCAGGACGATCTGCTCAGGATGAGGACAGATAAATCAGTGGACCCTGGCCTAAAGTCTCCATGAGTGTGAGGAAGCAGGACTTACTAACTATCTCTTGGAGTTCAACATGCCTCAAGACATCCTCACAGGAGAAAAAGATGCTGTGACCTCCTTTTTCCCAGCCCTCTTATAGCCCCTTTACAGCAGCTGCTTTATTCCTCTCCCTCTTCAGTGATAGCAGACTTTTCCAGGTTGGGCTACTTTCCACTGCTGATCTGAGAGTGGAAATAGAACTCGATACGTGAGTGTGGATGACAGTGAGGCATTGTGCACTGGCCACGATCTCCACAAATACGTAGACAAGCACAGAGCAGCGAGATAAAAGATGTGGCTGACCTGCCACTATCGCATTGCTGGTACCAGCTCTCACAATAAAGTGCTCCAGTTATGGGCTGCACGTGTGCACATACGTGCATGTGCACGTGAAAACCATAGGTCAAAGTTGGATGTCCGCCTCAATGACACTCCACTTTTTTTTTATTTTTTATTTTTTTTGAGACAGTCTCTTCCTTGAACCCGTAGCTTACTAACTGATTAGACTGGCTGGTTCCAGGGTCTCCCTGTCTCCACCTCCTCACTGGGCACTTCTGTGCCTTACTATTTGTTGGGTATTGGGAATCCAAGCTCTGGTCCTCATGGTGCACGGCAGGCAGTTTGTCGACTGACTGGGCCGCCTCTGCAGCCCCTTGTTTCTCTGTTACAGAGGTGTCACACTTTTATGGATATTTAAATTATCTCGTTGATTTCCTGGTGTATGTAGTCAGCAGTAATAACTGATTAACATTTTGTGAACCATGGAATTGCATGGTGGTTCTCAGCCATGGCATGGTCTTCATAGTGGTGGTCCGCAGAGCAGTCCTTGTTCTCTGGCACATGGTAGAATCTCAGGGTACTAGAACAGTAACACTCAGGGACCACGGGTCCAGACATGCACACAGCCCTCTTCATGGAAATGCATTGTGTACACCAGGGTCACCTGCTGTGTCCCACTCACCTCCTCCAGGGACAGCCCACAGAGCCAGTTCAGCCAGCCACACCATGGCACAGTCGTGAAGACTCTTTCATTTAGCAGCTACCGCGAAACCTCCAACCATGACCGTAAAGCCATATGTGCTTCGTGGCTGCTACAGCTCAGGATTCTATGGCCTGCATCATAAATCCCAAGTTCTCCTCTATTATGTAGACACGCCAGAAGCGCATGGTCTCTTCCAGACTTTGATCCTTTTCTTTATTTCCAAATAAATCTTTCTTCATTGACTGATAGGAGAGTATTATCAGTGTGTTTGGAAAGATTCTACCAGAACTTCCAAATAGAAAATATTTATGTATTTACTCATTGTAATACTGGGAGTTGAACCCAACACCATGTACATGCTTGTCAAGTGCTCTGCTACTGAACCGTGTTCCTGGCTCCTCCCACAGTTCTTAAAAAATTCATAAAAATAGAAACATATTAAAGCTCTTCCCCATATACAGCAAGTGGTTGGTCACCCCATACTGAACTGTGTGCCAGCCGTTGCACCTGTCTCTTCCCTTTATCCTCTGAGATCATTTTGAAAAAAAAATCCTGATGCCAAATGATTGTCACCTGAAAATATTTCAATAGCGGAAACATTGGGTTTCCATCTATATGACTTCGTTGTTAAGTAACGTATTATAGAAATTTAGGGGATTTTTTTTTTTTAAACAGGGTCTCTCTATATAGCCCTGGTTGTCGTGGAACTTACTATGTAGACCAAGCTGATCTTGAACTCAAAGAGATCCACCTGCTTCTGCCTCCTAAGTGCTGGATTGTGTGTGTGTGTGTGTGTGTGTGTGTGTGTGTGTGTGTGTGTGTAGAGAAATGTATATGTGTGGGTACAGGTACCTGTGGAGGCCAAAAGGCGGTATCAGATCCCTGGAGCTGGAGTCAGAGGCAGTTGTGAGCTGCTGGTTGTGGGTGCTGGGACTATCCTGATTAACTAATGTGTAAGTGATGAATCTTGGCTTGGAAATAAAGTTGACTTCATAGGATGGGGCCTAAAAATCATTTAGTTTGCCTTTAATCCCAGGCAGGACTCGAGAGGCAGAGGCAGGTGGAGCTCCACAAGGTAGAAGCCAGCTGGTCTACTGAGTGAGTTCCAGACAGCGAAGGCTACACAGAGAAACATTGTCAGAAAAAAACAAAATAATAATAACAAAAATATAAATTCCATTTGGTGGGGGAATTATATAAAAAACACAATATATTTTAAAAAATCCTATGTTCATCCCAGAAATGTGACAGAAGAAGGATACACAGAGACATCGCCAGTACAGAGGGCTTTGTCTTTACTGCTTCCTGAGAAAGCAGTGCTCATGGGCAGGAGAGGGCGTTGTTAAGACGTTCATCCCATTGACATGATCTGCAGAGTCTCCACCAGTGACTCTGAGGGTCTCCTCATACTCCTGAATTCATGCGGAAAGGCAAGTGACCATGGATAGTGACACACAGATCGGGCGTGGTGAGGGCAGCACTGTTCTCAGCACAGACAGAGTGGTCAGTTTGGAGAATACAGAGTGTGGGAACCACCCTCTTCCCTCACCCCACAAACGATGCAGCACCCTGCAGCGTGGACACCCTACCGTGCCATCAGGGAAGCAGTCTCCAGGCAGCTCAGACTCTGTGCCTTCTGCCACATCTCCCCGTTGTACTGGACAACAGAGGAGAGATGAGAAGGCTTAGGAAGTGGCTACTCTGGCAAGGGTTGTGCCAGGTCTCCACTGGGCACTGAGTGTTGAAATGCTCTATACACACACAGTAACCACTGCAAAGTGCTTTGCTTTTGCCTTGACCTGATTGGCCGGGGCATTTGGACGTGATTACTTCAGAGGGTGCCTACCCTCTGTCTCAGCAGCTTGACAGCGTATAGCATTGACAGAATGTCAATAATCTAAATTCTGCTGAGTTTGTATCTAAAACTGAACATTTTCTACTCTGCACCCCCTCCCTGCTCTTATGTATTAGAACACGGCGTAAGCGGCCTACTTTTGCTTTTGTTTTACACAGTACACATTTTGGAACTTCATACCCAAGAACCTCTTTGAACAGTTCAGAAGAATAGCCAACTTTTATTTTCTCATCATCTTCCTGGTGCAGGTAAGGAAGGTCTTGGCTCACTGTCTGAGTAAATGTCATTTGTTTCTCAAGTAAGTGACCTACAATCACTTAAAAATTAGCAAGGATGTGACACCCCTCATCTGCCATTCACCCCTGGGTTCTCTGACTCCAGCCCCAGAGGAGACAGTGCAAGGTCTCCAGCCACACCTGGCATCTCCATTTGCTCATTCTTGGTACTCAGAAAATGCAAAGCAGATGTACATCCAGAGAGACAGAGAGGCGGGGCCCAGCAAGGGTGTAGGCAGGGAGCAGCTGGTGGATTACACTCTATGAACAGCCATGTTTCATTTCTCTAAACTATTCTAAGTATGGCTATAAACAACTGTAAAGTCTCCCCAGCATGGGCTCCATCAGAACTAACTCGTGTGGCACCTGCGGAATGGACTAAATGAACCAGTGTATCCAGAGTGCCCTCGCCACGGGCTGACACGGCTTCCTTAACGACACCCCTTAGTCAAGGAGTCTCCCTCAGCATGATAGTCACTAGGACAGGGCGGTGTCCCTCTTGCCCAGGTTGCAGGGCAAGGAGGGCGCCAGCAAAGTGCTTTAGGTAGGTGGAAGCTGGCGTGGGAGAAGGCGTGTTTTCGAGGTGACTCCCTGGCTCTTGTCCTCACAGTTGATCATCGACACACCCACAAGTCCAGTGACGAGCGGGCTCCCTCTCTTCTTCGTCATCACTGTTACGGCCATCAAGCAGGTAATGTTCGCCTGTGCTTTCTTGTGCTCGAGGTCCTGTGCAGCGTGGCGTGTTTCGTCTTTTCAGTTAGGTTGGGGTTGGGTTTCTGAGGGCTGACTGCAGATGTGCCGTGCCATTTTTTAAAATCAAAAGTCTGTGCCATCAGTTTGACTTAGCGCAAGGATGTCAGCCAGACTCCATCCACCTGCAGTACAGCTGCCTGCTATTTCCTTACCGTGAAGTCTTTTTGCCTCCCCCTCCCCCCCTTCATGCTGTGCTTTGGAGCAGGTTACCAGGCACAGCCTAACAGTTGTGCTTCGTCTCCTCTGTCACCACGTATGTAAATGTTTCAGGAAGGAAGATTTGTCTGATGCCCATTTACTTTTAGCCAGTGGTTTACTCATATCAATATGGATTTATAAGTATTTATTTTAAACTTGGTGCTATAATCCAATAATGCTTCAATGTTTAAATTGTTCTTGCTTTAGCCATTACTGGTTCATTCAGTTAGATTCTGTATTCCTTTCACATGCCTTTCCATTGGGTAATGTATTTATTTGTTTTGTGTGAGTGTGTCAGGGGAATTCCTTTCTCACTTTCCAAGCTAACATTAGCTATAAGACAGCACAGCAAAGATTGAGACATAATTTCAGTGCCTTAAAATTTACCTTAGCGGGCTGGAGAGATGACTCAGAGGTTAAGAGCACTGGCTGCTCTTCCAGAGGTCCTGAGTTCAATTCCCGGCAACCACATGGTGGCTCACAACCATCTGTACTGAGATCTGGCGCCCTCTTCTGGCGTGCGGGCATACATCGAGGCAGAATGTTGTATACATAATAAATAAATCTTTAAAAAAAATTACCTTAGCATTTCCTTAAAAGTTTTTTAGTTATTAATTTAGGTAATGTTTCATGCTAATTTTGAATATGATAAGTATATAAGCTGGATTGTCTATATGTTTATTCTGCGTGTGGGTATTCAATAACAGTTAGTGAAAGACCCTTTTCTGTGTTTTAAGTGTTGTATCTATACTGAATTTGTTCAACTGATATATCTCCATCACGAGACTTTCTTATACACTGACTTCATCACTGTAGGTTTGTAGTAAAGTTTTGAAGTTGAGTGTATAGATGGAACAACTGTTATTTTTTGGCCTTACCCTTTCATTTTTGCATAAATTGTAAAATCAAATTGTCACTTTTTAAAAATGTTTGTTTAATTTTTTTAAAAAACATTTATTTATTATGTATACAATATTCTGTCTGTGTGTATGCCTTCAGGCCAGAAGAGGGCACCAGACCCCATTACAGATGGTTGTGAGCCACCATGTGGTTGCTGGGAATTGAACTCAGGACCTCTGGAAGAGCAGGCAATGCACTTAACCGCTGAGCCATCTCTCCAGCCCAAATCTCAAAAGCAGGAAGTCATGTGCCATGCTGCCAACAAGGGTTCGCCTTCACTCAGAGTGATTTGTTTCAACTAACTCATAGGGAGCGTAAGGCTGTGGAAAGTTGGTTCTGCTTCGAGCTGAAATGAATTAGAATCGGTTGGTCACTACTTTTCTGCTGTTAATGGGAGAGGAAAGTAGGTCTGTACATTGTGAGCCAACCAGAGCAGTCTGGTGTACTGTCCAGCTTCTCAGGCCCTGCTCGGCCTCACCCCAGAATGTGCCTCTGCCGACCCCAGAGGGAGTGCTTTCTCAGTGACTGTATCTGCAAAAGCCTTGGGACACACTTTTCTAACTGGTCTTTTTCAGGTAGCACAATGTTCTCAAGGTTTACCAACACGGTGTCATGTCAGAGTTCCAACCTGTGTCATCAGTGAGAATACTCTGGGGGGGGGTGTGCTTAGGACCCCCCCCATTACCTTATCCCACAGTCTGTGGGCATTTGGTGCTCTAAACATCGCTGAAGCACACTGCTCAGAGCATTTGTGTGGACACTGATTTGCTCTTTGTTCCTGGCTCTTTATATATTTGTTTATTTTGATTTTCCCATTTCCTGCCCCCTTGTGCTTATTTTTAATTAACAAATAATTATGTCTGTGGATGGACATAGATTGATGGATTTAGATCCTTAATTCTGGGGGTATTCTACAAGTAGAATTGCTCTAAGCCTCCGAAGAACTGGCCAGATGTCTCCCGGCAAAACATCTGCCTGTGGTCTGCAGGCTCTGTCACTGATGCTTGATGTATTTGGCCCATCATAGCTCTCTTAGTGTGTGCCTGGCAGTGCCTTACACATGGGTCCCTGTTAGCCAGCAGATGCATTCGGCCCATCATAGCTCTTTTAGTGTGTGCCTGGTGGTGCCTTACACATGGGTCCCTGATAGCCAGCAAATGTATTCGGCCCATTGTAGCTCTCTCCTCTTTCCGTGTATGCCCGTCAGTGTCTTACACACAGGTCCCCGATGCCAACAAGGTTGGGGATCTTTCCATGGACTAACAGTCATTTGTAAATAGCGAGAGGAGTGTCCATTGCCTGCGTTGTGTGCTCTAGACCTTCTGTCAGAGCCTGTGAATTTGCATTTCACTATTTAGCATTCACCTTTTCATTTGAGGCATCTGGATAATTTGCACAATGTCAGCTTCAAAGTAAATTCTTTCCCCGAAAGAACAGCACAGCAGTACGTGCTGCAGGTGTCTGACCTCAAGACTCAGCCTGGAGTCTTCTGACAGGTGTTGACATCTCCACATTGCTCAGTCTGTTTTTTTATATAAGTGAGGACCGCGTGCCCAGGTGTGGCACCACCCAAGTGAGCTGGACCCTTCTATATCAATTGTTGGTCAAGAAAATGCCCAACAATTGCCTATAGGCCAATCTTATGGAAGAATTTTTTCAATAACTCTAGCATATATTAAGTTGAAAAGAAGAGAGAGAGAGAAACAAAACCAGAACAGAGATCTTATCTAAAACAATAATTAAAAAAAAAAAGTACAGTTACTTGCTGTTGTTTTATGTCTTATTGGTCACTTGGTAGCCATCTGGAAATGCAGGTTTGAGAACAGTTTGCCTCTGTTCAGACCTATTAGGTCATGCTTGAAAGTCCGCAGAGCAGGTGGGGTGAACTTGGTTAGCAGACACCATCAGTACCTGGGGACGACTGCCAAGCACTGTGGGGACTTTGTCATTGCAGAATCATGTAGCCTGGCTCAACTTTTGACTGAGACGTTTCCTGTGGAGGAACTTTTCCCAAGGATAGGTCCTGGGTTTCTATGGAAGTCTACATACAAAGATTTTATCTGTTTTAACTGCAGAAACATAGTTGGTGTGATAATGACCAGCCATAAGGACCAGAGATGTGAGGAAACCCCAGGCTAGACCATACTTTGCCATAATTACTTCAAACATATCTTCTCTCCCTGTTTGGCTTTAGGGTTATGAAGACTGGCTTCGCCACAAGGCAGACAATGCCATGAACCAGTGTCCTGTGCACTTCATTCAGCATGGCAAGCTGGTCCGGAAGCAGAGTCGGAAGCTGAGAGTAAGTGGCATGTCCGCATCTGCCTGGTTCACCAGTGTTTCTCAGAGTCATTTTTTTTTTTTTGGATTTTTTGAGACAGGGTTTCTCCGTAGCTTTTTGGTTCCTGTCCTGGAACTAGCTCTTGTAGACCAGGCTGGCCTCGAACTCACAGAGATCCGCCTGCCTCTGCCTCCCGAGTGCTGGGATTAAAGGCATGCGCCACCACCGCCCGGCATTCTCAGAATCATTTTTAAAGTGACTTTTCAAAGCAGGTGTAGCCACACTGCCCTGTCTCATTCCGCTGAATGTTTGAGTGGTTTAAATCGTTGGAGCAGCTTGCTTTCTGCCTGTGCTGGCCACTTGAAAGCCCTTGTGTATGTGCAGACAGAGGATGGCTTTTCACCCTTGTCTCTGGGTCACAGCCCAGCTCTGGCTTCAGCCGTCATCTGAGTGTAAATTTGGACTAATTCTCTTCCTGTCTCTCTTCCTCCTGGTACTCCTCCCATGCCCAAGTCTCCCCCCACTCCACCCCCTCGCTCTTAGGCAGCTCTGCTATCTGTCCTGACCATATCCCGGATAGTAGTCTGCCCCAGCCAGAGAGTTCAGCCCACCCTGGTATAGGATGAACTTTTCCCCAGCCTGACACCAGCCAGCTGTTGAGCTTGAGGTCAGAAGGTGTCTCAGGATGTGGTCACAGCACCCAACCCACAAGGATCAAAGACACGTGTGTGCTTGCTAGCCCCATTCCACTTCCTGATCTATTGATATGTGGCTGTGTACACGTTTATTTTAAACATGTTTGATGCATAAATACCCTTTCATGTACTACTGCTTCCAGGAGAGCCTTCCCTTCTGTTGGATTTTTCTCTGCTTTCATTGTGACAGTTTTTCCTGGTGTTCCCTACAGCTGCTCTGGTCTTCAGTGGCCCACGGGACCCAGAAAGGCTTTGGCTGGACAGAAAGCCTCGGCATGGGTCTTGCCTAGAATCATGTTGTCATCCCATAAGGCACCATGATGGTGTCTTAGCACCCTCTGGATACAATAGGAGAGTGAGTTCCAGTCCAGAGTGAGCTGTCACACAAACGTGGCCTCTCAGTGACCGCTCTCTCTGTATCCCGCAGGTTGGGGACATTGTCATGGTGAAAGAAGATGAGACCTTTCCCTGTGACCTGATCTTTCTCTCCAGCAACCGGGCAGATGGGACCTGCCATGTCACCACCGCCAGCCTAGATGGAGAGTCGAGCCATAAAGTAACGTTCCCGGGTTTGGGTGCAACTCGGGGTCTTAGCAGACTGGGCTTTGGCCACAGATGTGACATCCTGGGTGCAGACTAAGCATATCTATGGTTATGGAGTTCTCTGTGGGGGTGGGGTGGGAGATTCCCAAATTCTCAACACATCGCGAGTGCTTGAATGACTTAAATGGTGATGTATGGTCACCTGTCCACTTGCTCTCAGTCACACCACCACTCCAGTACTTATCACTAGAAATACAGCAGAAATGCAGGGGTGCCTTCCCTGGAAGCCGCTGGCACACCTCTTTCCTCTCCTCTCCCCCTCCCTTCCCTCTTCTTCCTTCCCCACAGGTGCTAGCTAGACCATGTGGCCCTGAACAGCAACACAGTGTTCGCTGGTATCTTCTTAGAAATGCAGTTCTTAGGCCTCCTGCTCAGACCCACTACGCTGGGTTCTGAAGGGTGGCCTGACACCAGTGACCTAGCAACCTCCTGGGGATGTTGGCGCATACTTAGTTCAGATTTGAGGGACCTTCTGGTCCAAATAGCTGAACAGCTGCATGGGAACAATGATAGGAGGACAATTGGTAGCAGAACTTGGAAAATGAAACCAATGGCTGCTCTTGGTACCTCCTAGAAACAATAGCACTTGGCCTAAAAGAGGAGGGGCATGTCAGCGATTGATAGCTCTTACCAGGGCAGGCACATCAAGTATCAGGTGTAAAGGAGTCCCAGGCTTGCCCTTGGTCCTGCTGCTTTAAGATGAGGATTCTGGGGAAGCATGAGGAGTTCCTCACCAGGTCAAGCCGTAGCAGAGGCTCATCTTTCTGTAGCCCTCACCTAGGCTCACAGTAGAGCTTACAGTGCACATGAAGACGAGAGTCTGGGATGGGCGCCAGAGGCCAGGTGGAATGAGGTTGGGGTAGCTCATGGTTCCTCTCCACCCGCAGACTCACTACGCAGTGCAAGACACCAAGGGCTTCCACACAGAGGAAGATGTGGACGGATTGCACGCCACCATCGAGTGTGAACAGCCACAGCCCGACCTCTACAAGTAAGCGGAGCACACTGACCCGCAGGAGTGGGTGCGCAGCTGAAGATGTTGTAGTAGCTGCACAGAAGGAAGCCTGCGCTCTTTACCTTCCAGTTAGGAAATGTCCTCTAGGCCGTGGGTGGAGCAGCAGAGAAGGGAGATAAGAAAGGAGGAAGAGCTGCGTGGCTGTGGTGCAGACTGGGGGCCCCACTGCTCCTGTGAGTAACAAAGTGAGCTTTTCTGTTGCCAGGTTTGTGGGGCGCATCAATGTTTACAACGACCTGAACGACCCTGTGGTGAGGTGAGTTTCTGGGAGTCCAGGCCTCATTCCTCTTGCTGTTATGTTAGTTAGGTGTTCATTCTTTGATGAGTTCTTCCACGTCGCCTGTTCAGAAGGCAGGGCCCTGTGTCATCAGCAAATCCCCTCTCCCATGTTGACTGGGGTTCTGTCTGCGTAGTTCTGTCTGCGCCTGTCGATGCAGTGAAGCCCGTGGATGGTTGTTTTTTTATTTAAATTTTTTATTTAAAAGGGTTTTTTTTTTTCATTTTACATACCAGTCACAGTTCCCCACACAGTAACATCACTGGAGTCTCCGTAGCTGGCCCGTCCCTCGTGGGACGCCGTGAGCAGGTGCTTTAAGGAACGGCCTGTGGCGCTTCTTAGCATGTGTTTTTGTGGTTATTTTTTCTTTGTGTTACTTATTTTTGCTACTAGCTAGAAAGGCCTTGAGCACTGGATCCTCCTGCCTCAGCCCCCTGAATAGCTGGATCACAGTCTGGTGCCACCATTCAGGCTCTTGTCCTGGCTTTGTGGGCACCATCTATCAGCAGGTTAGTAGGGCATTTACTCGGAGTAGGGTGGGAGCATAACTTTAGTTTTCAAAGAGGAGTTTTTTACTGCTTTGGAAACTAGACAGTGTGGAGAGCTGATTTTGTTTAGGATGAAAGAGCAGATAAGGTTCTCCTGACCATCAGCAAAACTGAGGGGGCTATGGACCCTGAGCTTCACACTGAGCTGAAGCTGTGGCCCAAGCTGGGGACCGTGGTCCTCATGCACTTTGTGTTTTAATACTAGCTTTAGCTCAGCCTTTCGACATCAGGCCTGTTTGTTTGTTATTTGGATTTTTAAGGTATTTATAAATATTGGAAATAATATAAACAGGAAGAAAATGTTTGCTTTTGTTGATCCCCCATTCAAATTCCTAGTCCATTTGATTATATTTCTTCTTCAGTCTGTCCACACTAGAAGCAAAGTATTTTGTCAAGTACATTATATTTAGAGCTGTCTGAGACCATTTAAGGTGAGGCCATTGTTTTAATTAACATTTATAACATGAACTGTAAGCAAGTTACTAACAGAAGCCGACAGCCCCCAGCAGCCGGGGAGCTGTTGTCAATGACTGTCAGACTAAAGGACCTGCCTGCTGCCTGCCAACCACCTCAGGGAGGAGCCCGAGTAGCTTACAGCCCCTTCCTCCCTGGCGTCCTCAGGCACATCCTGAACCACGTTGGCCAAACACACTGGCCCCACCAAGGGTGTGATATTCTGTGTGTTCATTTCTGCCCTAAAGAACAGATAGAGCTCTTCTCTGACACACTGGGATGCTCTTCTCTCTGTTCCCCAGGGGTCACTAGGATGTGCTGCTCTCTGATAAACAGGGGGGGTCACTAGGATGCAGCAGTAGGATTCACACATTTAGTTCAGCTGCTTTGAATTCCCCTCGCTGCTTAGAAGAAAGGCTCACACTACTATCTGTGGGTAATTTAAGTGTCTGAACTTCCACCACAGAGGCCCCAGAGGCCCAGCCTCCGTTCATACTTGAAAATGTGCTTACACTAAGGAGGAGTCTCCTAGTCCTAAGGATGGGAGAGAACCAGCTGAAGGAGGAGTGAAACTCCAGGTTTTAGCCTTTTCAGAACATCTGGAGGTCCCGCAGCCCAGCCACCCTCACACTAGAGGTGTGTTGGGAGAGGGCTGCTGGCCCTGCCCTCAGATCTCTTTTGTAGTTGGTCTGGGTACCATTTTCACATCTAGGTGTTGCTGGTGGTAGGGACGCTATCTGAAGACTCTGTCTGTGACTTCTTGTGGAAATGTCACTGAAGCATTCCGGCTCCTGGTTATTTGAGAGTAGGGTGTCCTGCTTCCTTGAGGCCTTTCAGATGCCACCGTGAAGCTCCAGCCTCTGTGAGTGACAGGCCAGGAAAACGAGACTAGAAACAATCCAGCAGGCAGTGTCTCCCCCTCAGAGGAGTCTGTGCAGGTAGACTTTGGTGATCTCAGTGTGAGCAAATCCACATTTACACTGCTTCCTCTTAGGATGATTGAATTGGTTTTCAGTCTTGCATCCCACCACTTCTGGTCTCCTTATCTTCCAGGCCATTAGGATCAGAAAACCTGCTTCTCAGAGGCGCCACACTCAAAAACACGGAGAAGATCTTTGGTAAATATTTTAATTTGCCAACCACTGGTAATCATTTCCAAAATCTAGGACACACTTAGCAAACTAAACTCTACATCACCCTGAGAGACCACTAGATGCCTTAACATACAACAGACTTGGTGCGGGGTGACCTGCTAAGAGATGAGTGTTGTGGTATAATCTGAACCCACGAGCCATGACAGTGAAGATCGTGACTTGCTTGTTAAGGACCTCCTCAGTTCATGACTCAGGAACGTGAAGCTATATCCAGGAAGATATTCACCAAGCATTGTAATGCAGGAGAGTTCTCTAAATCTGCTTGTCGCTGTTAATACCTCCCATTGACAGTGCACTGTTTCCTGTTTTAATTGACTGAAATAACTTTTGAAATATACACTATGCCCTGCTGCCTGATCACCCAGTATATTAGTATTTGGACTGAAGAATATAATGTGAAGATTGGATCTTACACAGGACTCCTGAGTGTGAGGAATCCAGCTTCCTTGAGAAGCTCACTTCCTGGTTAAGTTGGAGATGTGACCTGTTTGTGTGAGCATCCTTTTCTCCAGAGCATGGGCTTCTCACAGACTCTTCTGCTTCCAGGTGTGGCTATCTACACAGGCATGGAGACCAAGATGGCTCTGAACTATCAGTCCAAGTCCCAAAAGAGATCTGCTGTGGAAAAGTAAGGCCACTCCCCTGCTGCCATCACTTTCTAGCCATCACTGGTCCCCGTAGATGCTGCAGTGCCCTTGTGGGACCCACAGTGTCCTGGAAAGCCCAAGCATCCTTGGGGGACCCACAGTGTCCTCAGGGGACCTACAGCATTCTCCAGGGACCCAGAGCATCCTTGGGGGACTCACAGTATCCTGGGGGACCCACAGCATCTTCGGGGGACCCACAGTGTCCTCAGGGGACTCAGCATCCTTAGGGGACTCACAGTATCCTGGGGGACCCACAGCATCCTCGGGGTACCCACAGCATCCTCAGGGGGCCCACAGTGTCCTAGGGGCCCACTCCTGCAGGGACTGGAGCTGCTAACCACAGAGCCCATTACTTGGGAGATTTTCTTGCTTTTCTCCCAGTGAGATAAATGGCCTCACCCATTTCTCTGCTAACACACTACCTGTAAGTCTTTCCCCCAAGTTCTAGTTTTAGATCAATCACAGGTGCCTCATATCCCCAGCCATTGATTCAGGCAAACTTCAAAATGGGGGTCATACTCAGCCCCTTCCATCCCAGGGACTTGATAGGAGCCAAGTGTGTCCCGATGTGGTTTACTGAGGTCACTGTGAGCAGAGTGAATATTTTCCATTAGACAGTAAAGCCCTGACAACTGCCATAACGAGATTAGGCTTAAGAGAAAGTAGAGTCTGAGGTTTTGTCGTCTCTGCCCCTTGCTTGGTGTGGACGGCCTCCATGTCACAGTGTGAAGCAGCGGGAGCTAGTTCATTCCCAGGAGTAGGACACTGGCAGGGACGCTAGGGGTGCCATCCCTGGGCCTGTCTGTGGCCATGTTAAGTGTGAGAATGGGGATGGGCTTTCCATCAGCGAGGATGCTTTGCTTGCAGACATCTGGGTGTGATGCATGCGCTTCAGAAGAAGACAGTGAAAATCACCTTGATTCAGTACAGCCGTGTTCCAGCCTCAGGCACTTCTCTGGTACTCACTTCTTGCTCACCCTAGAGTGAGAATCACCAAGCTCTAAGCTGACTCTGGCTGTGTTCCCATGGTTCAGGAACCTCAGGAGAGGTTCATCAGCCATGTGGCAGCATGTATCTTTTCCTCTCCTCCCATGGCTCTGGTCCTGCATTGGCAAAGGTGGCTGTGAACGAGCTGGAGTTTCATCTTCCTGGGTCAGGCTGGACAGTGCCCTCCAGGGCATTGCTGAGTGCCTGTGCTGTCCCTTCATGGTGAGGAAGGACCAGGAGCGACATCTGAAGGCTGGGCTGTTTCCCTGTAGGTCGATGAATACATTCCTGATCGTGTACCTCTGCATCCTGGTGAGCAAGGCCCTGATCAACACGGTGCTGAAGTACGTGTGGCAGAGTGAGCCCTTCCGAGATGAGCCATGGTACAACCAGAAGACCGAGTCCGAGCGCCAGCGGAATCTGGTATGGAAGCACTTCCCTTGTGTGAGGGAGGTGGCCCTTAGGCCATTGGCACAAAAAAAAAAAGATGGCACCAGGAAACTACAAAGGCAGATTTGCTTCAGGCAGAATGGAGCCTTTTCCCAGGTTAGGACAGAGGCCATCACTGGCACCTGGTGTAGGCAGGTGGGAGCTGCCTGCTGTCCTTGGGTAGTAGAATGGACAAGCCTGGGAAGAAATGTGTAAAGGACCAAAATCATTTTGGTATTTTCAAAACTCAGCATATCATTGAGATAAATGCTGCTTTTTATGGTAAGTTGGGGACAAAAGGCTCTGGCCTCAGAGCAGAGCTATATGCACTGATACCACATCAGGGCCGGTGCAAATGTAGCCCTGTGTGCAAGCACAGACCCTGCATGATGCTGTGTTCCGTCTGACAGATCACCTCTCCCTAATAGCCTCAAAGAGGAGTGAACTATACAGAGAAGTCCCCCAGAGCTGAGTGTGGCGGGCTTGCCTGTAATCCCAGAGAAAGGCGGAGACTGGGGATCGTGAGTTTGAAGAGAAAGTCACTATATAGCAAGGTCCCATCTCATCCTAAGTTTGAGAATTGTTAGTTACAGAAGGACATCATGAGTACTCAAAAGTGGCATTCCCGTTGGGCCCTACTTAGCATGGCCTCTCCACATCCCTGACGGTGTGGTTAGTGTGAGCTTCTGTCCCTGTCCCTCCCCATCTCTCCACCAGCACAGACCTCAGCAAGACATGACAGACAGCGGTTCCCAGTGGGTCTTTGTCTGTGGGTGAAAGTGCTTGTGTTTACTTACCTGACTGGGGTAGGAGCTGACAATCTGAGGTTTCCTGTCCCTTCCATGTGACCTGCCGCTTCCTTATGCAGTCAATGCTCTCAGTTTCTCAGGGCCTTCACCGACTTCCTGGCCTTCATGGTCCTCTTCAATTACATCATCCCGGTGTCCATGTATGTCACAGTGGAGATGCAGAAGTTCCTTGGCTCCTACTTCATCACCTGGGATGAAGACATGTTTGATGAGGAAATGGGGGAAGGGCCTCTGGTTAACACGTCTGATCTAAACGAGGAGTTGGGACAGGTAGGTATCTTCTAGAGACTCTGCCTGCTTTCTTAGCCCTCCTAAGGCTAATTGACTATGCCCTTAGTGGTCTGGGCTCTCCCTGATTACTGGCAGTTCATGCAGGTCTTGCACTCGGCCTGTAGATATGCTGCAATGGTGAAAATCAGACGTAAGGGCAGCAGTGGAAATACACTGACAGTGGTTTTGTTTTTCCTGAGTGTATCTTTTTAAACTTGGTTTACGTAATAACAGTCAATAAGCTTCTTTTAACTTTATCATGTGAAAAAGTGATGATTGCCCTAGCTGAGAGGAGTAAGCACAGTCCCAGGGCTTGCTCACTTATCCTGGGCTTCGTAGCTAGAAGAATACAGAGCGTGGTGGGAGGCCACTCTCACGGCCCTGCTCCCTTCACCTCACAGCAAGCAGGAGGAGCAAACAGAAACTTGGGGCATTTTCCTGGGGCGGTGTGTTGTTGAGTTAATGAATGTGTGGTCTGCAGGACCATAGTCCTTTAGCTCAGAACCAGGGAGTCCTGCGTGGTCTGCGCTGTGATTTCCAGAGCAGTGCAGAACGAGACAGCGGATGTGAGCCGACAGTCACAGCATCTGGGACAGCCATGCAGGGCCTCCCCTCGCGAGGACAGCGCTCATGCACACCACAGCTGTTGCCTGTGCTCTCTGTGAGGCCAGCAGGGTCCCTCAGAGTAAGAGAGGGCTGGGGCTGGCACACACTCAGTCTGCTGACTGCGGACCTCTGTGTTGCTGTATAGGAAAGAATGGTTCCTTCCATCTCATCCAGCCTCATGGGGAGTCTCTGACCTTTTCCCATCCTTACGTCACCAGAAAGGCCTTTTGGCATGTGGCAATTCATTAAATAAATCATCCATTTGAATTGGACCTGCCCTGCAGTTGCCTAGTAATACCATGTAAACAGTCTAGACTGACAGGCACATGTCCCCACCTGCCTTGGGGAAAGCCTCTGTTACTGCAGAGGGCACTGCCTGTCAGAGTTCCAGCTTTCTGATGTGTTCCTCCAGGGTATTTCATGCCCCACCTCCTGCGTAACGCATTGGTCTGTTCTTTAGAAATTAGTTTAGGGCAATGTCCAGGGATGCCCTGGGACAGGATGTCTCTCCCAACCTGGAGTCCATCACAGAATCACAGAATTCAACTGTCCTGTCCTGAGCAAGGCAGGCTGCAGCCTGTGTTCAGTGTGCTGGGCCACTGGGGTCAGGACCAGTCAGTGCCTCCCCAAAGCAGTGGTTTCACCTGGTGCCCAGTGCCTCCCTGTACATCTTGCAGTGCAAGATGGCAGTTCTGTCTGTGAAACAGACACTGCCTACCAGCCAGTGTCTGTGTCTGAAGCAGAAATGACTGCCTTCCAAGTAGACCTCATTCAGGGGCTTTGCACATTTTCCTGTGTGACCCTCCCATCCCTGTCATATGGAGGAGGAGCTGAGGCTGGAAAGGCTTTCCCAGCATCCTAGGAGTTAGGTGTGGAGTCTCTGCCGTCTCTGCCTGTGTCGTGTGCTACAGGTGGATGAGTGAACAGTCTGTGCCTAGCAGGGCAGCTCATGCCTTTGATCACCAGTGTCCTCAGTGGGCACTGATGCAAACTAGCAACAGCACCAGAACTTGACACGATCCAGTGGGGCTTACCCCTGGCCTGCCAGGACGGCCGTCACACGCAGATCATTAGACAGTGTCCACACCACATCAGAGAAGCGAACAGACCAGGCACCATCCACAGACACAGAGGGTGTGGAGTTCTGTGGCAAGTTAGGAGCAGAAGGCATATCCTAGCACAACACAGGTCACATATAGCAGCCCTGTAGCCAGCGTCACACTCCATCAAGAAATGTCAAACTTCCTCTAGGTTTGACGGCAAGATCAGGAGAGGACTCCTGCTCTTCCTCAGCTCCTCAGAAAGGTGCCGCAGGAGAGGAGGAGGAGAGAGGAGATGCACAAACAGGGAAAAAGAAAGTTAAATCGCTCCTGTTTGCAGAGCTGTAGAAAACTCTGAAGACCAACAAGAAACTATTAAAACTCTGCCAGTGGCACCAGGATTTATCCCTAGTGCTTGTACTGGCTTGTTTGGAACCTGTTCTCTTTTGGATGGACACCTTGCTCGGCCTAGGTATAGTAGGGAGGGCCTTGAACCTTCCCCAAAGCTGTGTGCCTTACCCTCTCTGAGGAGTGGATGGGGAGTGTGGAGGGAGGGAGAACTTGGATTGGTATGTATAATGAAAAAAGATAGTTTGTTTTCTTTTAAAAAATAAATTAATTAAAAAAGAACTAATAAATTCAGTAAAGTTGAAGGGTATGAGCTCAAACACATCACACTGGAGTCTAACATTAATGTCAGACCCCAGGATTAAAGACTCTCGCAGACCTGTCTAAAATAGCAATAGCCATGCTTCCTTTGTGTCTTTCGCCAACAGAAATAGTGGGACTTGTGTCTGGGTTTTGACGGGATAGATGGCGCAGCAGTTAGAACACTTAACTGCTTTCTCAGGAGTCCCAAGTTTGGTTACCAGTCCCCTTGTAGGTCAGCACACAGCCACTTAAAATATCAGCTCCCAGGGATCCAACACACTCTCTGGCTCCTACAGGCATCTAAACTCGTGTGTGTATACCCATACACAAACACTCACACATACATATAATTGTTTTGTTTGTTGTTTTGTTTTTCAAGAGAGGATTCCTCTGTATAACAGCTGACTTTCCTAAAAGTAGCTCTGTAAATCACAGATACCTGCCCTTTTCCTCGTGTGTATTCTGTCTTCTAAACCTTTTCCCATCCTGGGAGCCTCAACCTCTCAGCCCCGTAGAGAAAGTTCTTCCTTCTCTCATCTGTGCCGTCCTGCTTAAGGAGAGTCAGGGCTCCCCTCATCCTGCGCTGCACAGACACTTGGAGCCCTGGCTCCCTGGAGGCCAAGTTCTGTGAGGCCACATTGTGTTCCGTCTTGTATTTGTCACCAGTATGAGGAGGGGAGAGCCTCTTCCCCTGAAATGGCACCTGTGTGGGTGAAGGGGGTGCTGTGGGTACCCACACGTGGTAGTGGATCTATCTGGACAGACTCTCAGAAGTTCCTGTCCCACTAGGATTGTAATAGGCTTGGGCTAAGAATTGTCACTTGCCTACATGTCTTACCTTGAGTGTATGGTACCCTCAGGTGGAGTACATTTTCACAGACAAGACGGGCACCCTTACGGAGAACAACATGGCCTTCAAGGAGTGCTGCATCGAGGGCCACGTCTACGTACCTCATGTCATCTGCAATGGGCAGGTCCTTCCCGACTCTTCCGGCATCGATATGATTGATTCTTCCCCAGGAGTCAGTGGAAGGGTAGGTTCAGGCCCTGGGGGTGCAGGGTGTGTCTGTGCTTCATGATCAGGGATGTGAGTAGGTGGGGCACTCTCACTCACACGAGCTGCCCCGCTCATGTGGGCAGTATGACAAAGTCAGTCATCATTGTAGGACTTCGTGAGGTCATGGCTGGACTCTACCATGGTGTGTCCCTTTCCAAGAGGCACGAGGTCTTGACAGTGATTCCTCTGATAGAATTGACCTGGGAGGAAGGGGAAAAAAAAACAGCATAAGTAGGACATGCAGTATTCTGAGAATAGTGTGAATATACACAGTTTGCATGTGTGCAACTTGCATGTGCATACAGATATGTGCGCACACACGTAGACACAAGTGTATTTACATGCACATAGATACATGTGTATATATGATGCACTTGTGCTCACACACATGCATACACACACTAGAGTGCCATGGCCTCGGGTCTTAGTGTCTCCGGTCAAGGTTCAAACCAGCACCAGTTGTGTGGTAACCAAAGGGTAAATCATGACTGCAGAACACTGGCCTGTTAACGACAGATGAACAGTTCACAGTCAGAACCCCTTCAATGCGAGCTCCAATTGATACCATTTTTTCAATAAAGAGGAAGGAGTAGATGCCCCGTGGCCATCCTGAGATCTGCCATAGCTCCACACCCTCCCAAACCAACCCCAAATCCCGCCCACCACATTGGTTGTCAGAGAAGCCTATCATTGGCCTCTCTGCTGCCCAGCTACTGAGGACCTCGGGAATCTGACTACAGGGTGTAGCCATCACTGAGGAAGCTGAACTCTGATCTGGGTCAGCCCACCGTGACCTCATGCACTCTTTTCAGCTCAGCATGGGGCTCCTAGCATCTGCTTCCAGGGCTGTATTAGGACTGAGCTTCAGGCTGCAGGCACACAGCTGGAGATTAAGTCATGTGAAGTGCAGCACTCTTTGCCAGTAGCAGACTGCCCCTGCCACACAGGCGCTGTGGCCAGGACCTGGAGAGTAGGGGGTCCAGGAATGAGTGTGCCAACTGCATAGGTGACATTTTCCCCACAGGACATGACCATCCCTGAGTGTTTATAGCCATGCATTCCTGCTTCCTAGGAGTGTCATTGTGAGCAAAACCCCTTCTTTCAGTCTTCACTGCCTGTTAATACTTATATGAGTTGCCATGGCAACTCTGGAGCATGAAGGACTCCCACGTGCTTCTCTTTTGTAACCACTGAGACAAGCTAATGACAATCCCACCCCCCACCCCCGGGAGGTCTTAGCCTCTGTTTTGTGGGCCTGTCCAATCTGCTGTCTCTTTCATATTTTCCCCATCGCAGGCAGAGGTGTTACAGTTTCCCTGACTGTCTCCACAGGAGCGGGAGGAGCTGTTTTTCAGGGCTCTCTGCCTGTGCCACACCGTCCAGGTGAAGGATGACGATCCTGGGGACGATGTCGATGGTCCCCAGAAATCTCCAGACTCAAAGTCCTGTGTGTATATATCGTCCTCGCCTGATGAGGTTGCCCTGGTTGAAGGTGTGCAGAGGTGAGTCGGACGGCTGGTCTCAGAGTGTTAGTAATGGGTCTGCAACCCAACTGGTGAGTCATTCTAGAAAATTCTGTATTGTGACCTCAGGGCCCTTGCATTTTTTTGTGGAGGTAGCTTTCCTGTCAGCAACATAAGCCCTTGTTGCTGTGTTTTCTGTGCGTATTGCTGTCTAGACAGAGCCCCGTCCCCAGGCCTTTTTTTTTGATCCCAAGATGCCAAGCACCAAGGCCGACTCTCTGCAGCTCTCCCTGTCACCTGACCTGGAGAGCTAACAGCTAGATGCAGTCTCTGCCTGTTACTGTTCTTTCTTTGTGTTGGGTCTTTCCACCCGGGACTTTTACACTGACGAGGGGGTCTTCCTGGAGTTCTTTCTGCTGTGTGAGGTGTGGCATGAGACACAGACATCCAGAAAAACACTCCAGACGTGTGACACAATTTCAGGTCAGGGATATCACTAACCTTCTCAGCTCACAGTTCTTAGGGACCAGCAAACTCCCAGTGCTGCCACCAACAATGTGTGCAGCCTTCAGAGACCGAGAACAGAGAGGACATTTTCATACGTCACCTCTCAGAGTAGTGAGCGGGCTTGTGACTAAGCAAATCTGCTTTTCCTCTAAAGTTTAAGTAGTGGCAAAGATGTGTGAATGATAGTGCCCTTAATAGGTGTGCAGGCCACCCCAGTACGTACGTACGTACACACACACACATACGCACCGTGCATGCCACCACCTCAAGACCCTTGAGGCTAGTTTTAGAAGCATTTATAGCAATAGTTCTCAACCAGTGGATCACAACCCCTTTGGGGGGTCACATATCAGATGTTTACATTATGATTCGTAGCAGTAGCAAAATTACAGTTTTGAAGTAACAGTGAGATAATTTTACGGTTGGGGGTCACCACAACATGAAGAACTGTATTGGAAAAGTTGAGGACCATTGATTTATAGAGAGAAGCCATGACTGCTGCAGGTAGGAAAGTCAGGTCAGGCTGCCCCGCCGTTCATGAGCTCTTCTCCTCCAGGGGTCTTTCTCTCAGCTGAGGACAGTGCCCAGTGGAGCAGGTGGCCATCTTCTCCCATATGCCCAGCCCCTGACTGCTAATGTAGTTGGTGCCGGATGGGCTAGTGTGTTCTGTCCCATCTTTTATTAAAGCTACTCAAGTTCAGACCTTTACTCTCCTGGCAGGTGCCTCATGGCTAGAGGTATTCATTTTTACAGTAGAGGGAGCGTGGGCCAGCATCACTGCAAATAGTCACTATGGGCCTGTATCCTGTCAGATAACTAGGTTGGCCAAGGGCTACATAATTTATATTTTTTTAAATTATTTTTTTTAAAAAGCCCAGAATGTATTTCTCACAGTTTGGGGCTGGGAGGTCCAGGGTCAAAGCATGAGCATCTCAGAGGGTTTCTTCTGTGCCCAGAATGGTGGCAGCTTGGAGAGAGGACGAGAGGGCAGAATTATTCTGTATGTGAGGAACCCTCTCCTGTGGTAGCCATACTCATCATTTCGTGAGGGGCAAAGTCTCCCTGGCCAACCATCCTTGACATTCACACTGGGGTTGTTTCCCCCCGGGGACTTTGGTGGCTGTTCACACTGTGGCAGATAGCCTCTGAGGTTTCTATTTCTACTGAAGTCACTCACCAGTTAGTGAAATGTGGTTAGAAGCAGGAAGTGCAGCCCAGACACATGGTCCTGGCTTTCCACAAGCCACCAGCATCCCCAGAGTGCACCTTCTCAGTGTAGGGCGCAAACTCTTGGGTCATTTTCTGAGGTGGTAAATAAAGTCCCGTGTCCTGGCTCTGTAATGCACCCAGCAACCTGTCCTGATGAAAGTGCTTCCTTAAGAAGGATGGCCCAGTATAAAGTGAAGACTCCCTGGAAGAGGCCTGTCTGGATTTCAGATTCAGCCCTGGGTTTGCCTTCTCTTCCTGCTGCAGGCTTGGTTTCACATATCTGAGACTGAAGGATAATTACATGGAAATACTGAACAGGGAGAATGACATCGAGAGGTGAGGAGCTGTCTGCACGAATTTGTGTCACTGGGAAAGAACTAAGTCTTAATCTTTGAAGTAAGCTGCCCGGGACCGTGTGAGAGGCAAGTCTGCACACTGCAGTGCTTCTGAGGCCCTGTCTGAGCTAGGCCCTGAACTCAGTGGCAGCTCCGGCTCCAGAGCCCCAGCCAGTCTCCCAGAGAGATGGTCAGACTTGCCATGAGAGTTGCAGGCTCTAGCGATATTCTAAGTGAGACACAGATATTACGACCCTTCTGGGCAGAGTCATAGCTTGGACTGACCCATCAGCACTCTTAAGCACTGATCCCAACTCAGGGCTGGAGCTGGGCATCCTCTGAGGCCCAGAACATCCACAAGGGCATCCACACAGTGTGGACAGGGCACAGGGAGAGGTGAGAACACCTCCTTCCTGCTGGTACGATCATTTGGAAATCATTCAAACTCAGCACCTTCTCGGCAGCAGAGAATAAATGCCCCACGTTTCTGTTTCAGATTTGAATTGCTGGAAGTCCTCAGTTTTGACTCTGTGCGTAGAAGAATGAGTGTGATCGTAAAGTCTGCCACAGGTGAGATTTCTCCTGATGTTACATGGTGGTGGATTTATTCTGGTGGGTAATTCTCTAGGACCTACAAGGGTTTAGGACATAAAAACCATTCCACATTTGTACATGTACATGCAGATGCATGCGTATGTGTGTGTACGTTCAGTGGAGTGTTTCTGTGTTACCATAGACAACATGGGCTGTCATTCCGCAGGCATTGCCTCCCCTGTTTTTTTTTTATCTTAGACAGTGTTTCTCACTGACTAGGACAGACTGACTGGCCAGTGAGCCCTAGAAATCCTCCTGCCCCTGCCTCTCCAGCACTGACATTGCAGGTGTATGCTACCTCTCTAAGCATGGGTTCTGGGAATTGAGCCCAGGTCATCATGCTTGCAAGGCAGATTCCTTACCATCTGAGCAGGGTAACTGAATAGGACCTGAGACAGAGTTTCAGAGTAGGCAGCCGAGGGTCGGGTCGGGCTGAGACTTTACTGCAGAGCAGCTGGACTGAGCAGGTGTCATCAGAGCTGGTTTCTCTGCTTGGTGGCTGCTTCTTTGCTGTCTGTTAGTGTCTGTTACCTGGAAGGAGAAATTTCTTTCCTATTGAGAAAAGGAACATGCAAGCCAACACGAAGGTGCTCAGAGCTCCGAGGACAAGGCTAGGGATGTGGAAGATAGAGTTTCCCATGAAGCTTCGTGAGACAAAGGATGGCCTGTCCATGGAAGACTCGCTTTGGGAAGAGTCATGCACTCGCCTCTGGCATTTCCTAGAGTTTGAACACCCCTTTTGGGCCAGGAGCACACCCTTTGCTCTGTTATGCTCACCCTGCCTACCCAACCACTGACCCAGGAAGTATTTGCTCTTCACGGGGAGTATGAGCACCTGGAGCCCTCATTGTTCATGGCTCCTGACTGTCTTGAGACCAGTGGGCTGTAGGAATAAAATGGGGCCCTGGCGTATTTCATGGATTGCACCTCCTTCAGATCTTAGCGTGTTAACTGGTCTTTAGGATGTACTTTGAAATGGTCTCCACACTGCTGTCATTTGTTTTCATTAATAACGAGCTGAAAAGGAAATGTGTCTTCCCGAGTAGTAATTAAATTCAGCATTGTTTTCTCCCTTGTCTTCCAGGAGAAATTTACTTGTTTTGCAAAGGAGCAGATTCCTCAATATTTCCCCGGGTCATAGAAGGCAAAGTGGACCAGGTCCGGTCCAGAGTCGAGCGCAATGCAGTGGTAAGACGCTGCCCCGTTCCAGCCCTGTGGCTTTCTATGCTGGAGGCCATCCTCCCATTTAGCCGTTCTCCTGCAGAGGCAGCTCACATCCTCTCAGCTGTTCCTCCCAGGACTGAGGAGCTAGAGAGACCCCATGCCTGGGATTAGATGACTTTCTGCTGCGACCTGCAGAGGCTGTACTAGATAGACATTCAGATACAGCTCGGCCACATCCCCTCAGAGAAGGTCCCCGTGTGGTGCTGCAAAAGGCGTGTGCTGGCTTCACTGAACTTATTAGGACAAACTGGTGTTCACTTTCATTAAGTGGGCACATTGGGGATTCTGACACCTTCTGCCCACGGTCACCTCCAGGAGCATCACTAGAGACACACTTTGTGTTAATGAGAACACTGACATAGTGCATACTGCATTGTTCTAGATGGTTCTCCACACCGGAGAATCATTTTCCTTAAGGGAAGTAGTTAATTGTGTTTAAAGTACATCTTCTTAAAATACTTTATTGAGCTATAGTCGATATATTAGTGTGTTCATCTTAAAGAGAAAAGTGGGTAGCTTTTGATTCACACTTTTAAAAGCCTTGCCACACAGTGTCCCCCAGACCTTTGTGTTCCCCCCGGTCAGCTCCCATCAGCCCCCACTGTTTGCCGTCACTGGTCACTGTAGATGAGCCCTGACCCTCTGGCGTGGTCTTATCAGTAGCATCACAGCGTCCTTTTCCCGCTGAGCAGCCCATCCGTGCTGATGCCTGACTTACTCATTTGTTCACCTGTTGATGGACATTTGAGACTGAAGCCCAGCGAGAACTGTGGGTCCTGGTTTAGACAGCCCTTCTCTTAGGAAATGTCGTGCTGTGCTGGGCTTGCTCTCCGTGTTATGTTTTCTTTGCTGCTTTCCCGTGGATGGTCTCTGGTTGTGGTGAGTCTGTGTGCGGTGATTCTCTTTTCCTGCTCGGGAGTCTGGAGTGTGCTCAGTAGGCCTTTACCAAGATGGGGAATTCTTCAGTACTACAGTTTTAATGGCCTGCATCCCACTCCCATCCCCATCACTTGGTCTACCGTAGCTGGCTAGTTGATCCCTCTGGGCATGGACGCCATCCTGTACGCAGGCCACAGTGCGAACTTCACCCTCTGGGCTGCTGGATCTTTCTCACCTCCTGCAGCTCTAGAATTTTATTCAGAGAAGTGGCCAAGCTCCTCAGAAAACGCTTGTTCCTTCAAGCTGTGGCTTCATGTTGTTTGATGGATTTGGAACAGTGCTCTGCCTGGCGCCTTTGGGAATTTCCTGTCAGCCTCCTGATGACTCGTGCCTGACCTCTGAGCCTGTCCATCCATTGTCCTCTTCCAGATACTTCAGGGCCATTGGTTCTTACAGTGCCTATCTTAGGGTTTCTGTTGCTGTGTGTGGTAATTTAAACATAATTGGCCCCCATAATCTCATGGGAGGTGGCAGTATTAGGATGTGTGGCTTCGTTGGAGTGGATATGGCCTTGCTGGAGGAAGTGTGTTACTGTGGGTGTGGGCTTTGAGGTTTTCTATGCTCGGAATACTGCCCAGTATATGTCAGACCATTTCCTGTTGCCTGTAAGAGCAGGACTCTTGGCTACTCCTACAGCACCACGTCTGCCTGCACACCGCCATGCCTCCGTCGTGATGATAATGGACTGAATCTCTGAACTGAGAGCCAACCTCCCCAACTAGCTTTATGGTCATGCTGTTTCATCACAGCAGTGGAAACCCTAAGTAAGACACTGTGGCGAAACACTTTGACCAAAACAACTTGGGGAGGAAAGGGTTCATGTCCCAATCATAGTCCATCGTGAAGGGAACTTCGGACAGGAAATGAAACAGGGAAACATGTCCTGGAATGCTTAGCCCCATCCTATAGGTCAGGTAATTCAAAACTTCTGCCTGAGTTCTCCAGCCCACACCCAGCCCAGCAGTTCCTCAGGGAGCAAACTGAGGACCTGCAGGTCCCACATTCATACCATTATTATTAAACAGCTGAAGCTTTACACTGAAGACGGCTGCAGGTGATGCTGAGAGGACCATTTTCCCTTCAAATCCAGTCGCCCATTTCTTCCTCAGTTGCCTGTTTTGAGCGTCATAATTAAATTGTGCCAAATACAAGATTAGGAAGACTTTGCCTTGTATTTTTCTAAGAACTCTATATTTCTAGGTTTTAAATTTAAAACATTGATCTTATGGGTTATGGTAGGCAAAGGGGACTGTCTTATTTTTTATAAGTGGGTGTTGTTTATTGAGCATCATTGTTGAAGGGATGGTTTTTATCCCTGTTGAGTGATCTTGTTCCTCTTGTTAAATTGTCTAGCCAGATGTTCTAAGATTTGTTTCTGGGCCTCAGTTCTGTCCTGCTCTTCTCTCTCAGTCTCTGTCTCTCTGTCTCTCTCCACACACACCAGTCCTGTACAGTTTTCTGTACTGTCGTGTGCTAGTAAGTCTTGAAACCAGAATGTATGCATGCCCAACTTTCTTATCTAAAATCCTTATGCTCTCTGAATACCCTGAAATTCCCTATGAGTTCCTGTGGAGATCGCCATCGGGAGTTCCATAGGATCACAAGACTCCAAATGGCGTTGAGTAGCAATGTCATCTAAACAATATGAAATCTTCCAGTCCACAGAAACACACGTACATGCTTCTGTTATTTGCTCTTCTGTGATTTTCAGTGTTGTGTAGTTTTCAGTCTATGAGTCTTTTCCTCCGTGAGTAAGCCATTCATGAATGTTTTCTTTCTGGTATAATTGTGGGTAGAATACATTCTTAATCTCCTTCCCAAGGTGAGTGTTGGGAGCGTGTGAGGTGCAGCCGGCACGCCTGTGCTGATGTCACAGTTGAGCTGTTGGGACCTGTGCTGATTACAGCATTTATACAATAGCTCTGGGATTTCGTGAGAGGAGGTATATGTTCTTTATGGTTTTCTGACTGCAGGAGCTGGCCATCTGCATGTGCAGTCTTGAGAAAAGCATTCTTTTGGATTTGGGTGCCCCTCTTCCTTACCGAATTGCTCTGGTAGAATTTGTGGTGCTGAGTTGTGTTCAGCAGAAGTGAAAAGGCGAGAGTCCCTCCCTCTCCTCCCCTTAGAGCCGTTCTCGGGGAACCACGTGAGGTCGTCTCTGTGTTGTGTTTTCAGTTACTTCCTCTGCACCAGTTCACTCATCACGTGGGGCTTCACCCTGGCCACACCATGTGTTCCATTAATCCATTTCCTAGGCTGGATCAGTCTGGCGTCCGGGGATGAGTCGCGTTCAGCCGTAGTTCATATTCCTTTCATGTTGGAGTAGTGCTGTTGGATCCAGTTTGCTGGTGTGCAGTTGAGGTTCACTTCATGTGTGTTCATAAGGGGCGGTGCTCTACAGTGCTCTCTGGGTGTGATTTGCTTTCTATAGCTTGGTAGTGTTTCACACAGGACTTTTGTCCTGCTTAACCAGAGGCTTTCAGAAAGGCGCTCCACCTCACGGCACACCACAGTAGAAAGTCCCTTTCTGCCTTCACAAGCAGAGGCTCGTTCATTCCCGAAAGCCCAGTTCACCACTCCCAGCACCCTCCATCCTGGACATTCTGTCTTTAGAGACCTCCTCGTCTGATGACTCTTCAGACTTGTGGCTGGAGCACAGTGTTTGCCCGTGCCCTTCCTTCCCTCGGGAGGGTTAGAACTGTTGACAGCAGAGTCTGTCCTTCACACACGTTAGAAGGGCTAAAGAGCTGTGAGAGGCTGACAACACATAGCAGGAAGTGTTCTTAAAAGTCTCAAATCCAGGATTTGCCGTGCATGTTGAGGAGGCCCGTGAGTGTCACACTGTTGCACGTGGAATTAAGGTGAAAGAGCAGGAGACGCCCAAGGGAGCCACAGCAGGAGCAGGTCACATGGCCTTGATAGCACCTTCTTCACGCATGTCAGAACCCCTCATCCTTCGGGCTTGTTTAGTTTCCCGCGTACCCAGCGTGTGGATGAATAACCTTGCAGTCTTCCTTGGTATTCACTGCGGTCGGATTCTGACAGGCTCCCAGCTTTGGATAAACCATTACCACAACATTACAAGTTATCTCACCAGAACACAAATGAACTCTGTTTGTTTACATGAAGGGAAAAAGTCTGTGTTCTGCTGTAGTGGCCTGGTAGAGGTATCATAGGTTACAGTTCTAGATGTACATGATTGTCCATATTTAAGGTAATTCAGTAATTCCTTGAGGGTGGCTGGGTTGTGATTCACTCTCTTCAGATGGGTATGAGGAAGGCCTGAGAATACGTTCAGCAGGCAATGATGGATTCACGTTAAATACTGACTCGTGTTCCGCAGGAGGGTCTGCGGACCCTGTGTGTTGCCTACAAGCGGCTTGAGCCAGAAGAATATGAGGATGTTTGCAGACTACTGCAGACCGCCAAGGTGGCTCTTCAAGATCGGGAGAAGAAGTTAGCAGAAGCCTACGAGCAGATCGAGAAGGACCTGATTCTGCTTGGTGCTACAGCTGTCGAGGACCGGTAATGCTGCCATGTGTGTCTGTTCAGCAACAGATGGGAGAGGCCGTGAGAGTAGGGTGGGCGGGTGACAGACAATGTCCACAGTTACAGGTGGAGAGGCCGTGAGAGTGGGGTGGGCGGATGATACATTTCCACAGTTACAGGTGGAGAGGCCGTGGGAGTGGGGTGGGCAAATGGCACACACGTCCACAGTTACAGGTGGAGAGGCCGTGAGAGTGGGGTGGGCAAATGGCACACACGTCCAGTGCCAGTGTGTTCTCCCTGAGGACAGCTTCACTGTTTCCCTTCATGTAGAGCGACAACCCAGAAAACCAGAGCTGGGCGATATGTTCCTGGCCACGCATAAGGTCCCTGAAAAGGCACTTTCTTCCAGATAGTGAAAGTGACATCTTGACATCATGTTACACATGGAAGATCCAGTTTCTCTTCTTGCCTTAGAAAGGAATTAGTAGTAATTTTCCTACTATGTGTAGGAAGTTGCTGCTGGCTCTTCTGAGCACAGCTTGACTTTTTAGATTTTAATATCTTCGACATGTTTGTTTTTGTTGAAGAAAGTTAACAGATTGAAGTGGACTAACCCAGTAGTCACAGCTGATAAAGTGTGAGAACGCTTCTGAATTCTCAGTTACAGGGTGAGAGCCAGGAGCCCTTGCCGTGGCCTGAGGATGGTGATGCAGAAGGGGAGGCTGCTTCAGGGAGGGGGCTTCTCAGTGGATGTGCATGAAGCCCTTGTGGGCAGCTGACATGGCTGGAGTTAGGCCACAGAACATGGAGGATTGACACCCAGGAGCACTAGGGATCAGTGGCAGTAAAACAATGTTCTCTTCTAGACAGGGTTTCGCTGTGTAGGCCAGGTGACATAGAACACGTGTCCACCTGGGATTACAGATATGCTGTCCCATTGAAGTGATGATTGATCACAAGTTTCTTCTTTAAAACCCAGAGTCAGCATCCTTACCAGTCTAGACCTTGGGCTCCTTATCATTGTTCAGAAAAGTTACAAGATCAGAGGTGGCTGTCCTCATTTGTGCGTCTGTAGTGATGGCGTCTCCACACTTCAGGCCAGGCGCTTCCTCCCTGGGACTCGATGGCTTTGCAGGGTTATGTAGAGGTGAAAGATCATACCAGATTTCACACCGTGCTGGCACATACTGAGCCAGCAAGAATGTTAGCGAGCTGTGGGGCCACTGGTATTATTACCAACCTCTGAACTGGACTCCAATAGAGTCTGGATTCCAGTTTGATAAGGAACAATATGAGAACAAATGGTACCAAAAGGAAAAATAATACCGTATTTCCCAGTTCCATTTTCCATTTCGTTTCTGGTTTTAATGATTCTCCTAAGTGGAATGATACTGAATTGTGGACGGATGTTAGGCTCAGGGAGAGGATGTGGCTCAGGACAGCCCCTTAAGTAGCTCATCCGTGTTTGTTTGGTAGAGCCTCGTGCACATCACTGTAAGGTGTGCGCTCTGGGAGCAGGTTCAGGTCCTGTGCATGTGCTGTTTCATAGAGCTGAATATTTTGATGGCTTCATGTTTCTTGAAGTTCTTTTTTTGGCGGCCTTGGCTCCTGAGCCCACTGTCTGGGTTCTACTTTCCCAGGCTCCAGGAGAAAGCCGCAGACACAATCGAGGCCCTGCAGAAGGCGGGCATCAAGGTCTGGGTGCTCACTGGAGACAAGATGGAGACGGCCTCAGCCACCTGCTATGCCTGCAAGCTGTTCCGCAGGAGCACACAGCTGCTGGAGCTGACCACCAAAAGGCTAGAGGAGCAGAGCCTGCACGATGTCCTCTTCGAGCTGAGCAAGACAGTCCTGCGCTGCAGCGGAAGCCTGACCAGAGACTCCTTCTCGGGGTAGGCTGCTCCTCCCACCGCCTCGTGGGATCCTGCACCTCTGTGTGCCCACAGTCTGTGGGTCACCTAGAGGCTTTGAGTGGCACGGAAGCCTTTCCACGGCTGGAGGTGCCTGGGCAGGCAATTTCAGGCCGATAGGTGGAGAATGCAGAAAGATGTTTTCAGTGGTAAACTTTTCATCTGCTGTTGTGCCTCGTGGGTCCCTCGTGGGTGCCTCGGGGTGCTGCCAGAGAAGGTGTTTAGTAATAATGGAAGCAGCAGTCTTCCCAAGAGTGTCTACCGGTTTGTTCACACGTTTCACAAGGGCCTCCCTTACCAGGGCTGGGCGAGTCATCTGAAGGTAGTCTCATCTGATTCTGATGAGTCATTATTTTATGTCTTTATTTGTGTGGGTGTCCACATGCATGTGCCACAGCAAACATTTGGAGATTAGAGGATAAGTTGTCAACTTAAGACAGTTGGGCTTAGAGCACATGCCCTTATTGAACCGTCAAGAGTCATATGTATTTGGCAGGACAAGCCAGCCCTCTAGGTGTGTGCAGATTTTAAGTTGTTTTCAGAAGAGCACAAAGTTAATTCCCTACTTTGTTCTGCAGAACTTCAGGATTATGGATGTTGTTGTCATTCTGAGGCCTTGCAAAGGAGCCTGGAGAGATAGCTCAGTCGTTAAGAGCATGCGCCGCTCTTCCAGAGGGCCTAAGGTTAATTCCCAGCACCAACTCCAGGCGGCTTCCCACTGCCTGCAACTGCAGCTCCTGGGAGGTCAGACTCTGCTGATCTCAGCAGACGTGTGCCCACACCTACATACAGATTATACATACTTTAAAATGATAAAAATAAATAAATCTTTATAGCCCAGCAAAGGGAGACTTTGACCATGTTCTCACAGTGAAGTCATCAGGGCAGGAAGCCTAGGAGGTATTAGCCATACAGGCAGAAGGAGGCAGGCATGGAGAGCAGACGTGAAGACCTGCCCTTCCAAGCCCACCTTGTGGTGTCTCAGTGTGAGACTTACACACACTCTCAGGAAGCTGTGACTGTGATTTCACAGTGGCATCACAGAGTTCTCTCCAGTTCCGCAAAGGTCAGAGTGATGGAGGGAGAACTAGGAGCCTCCTGACCCCAGGCATCATGCAGATGCCCCGGGTATGGTAGAGCGGTGACTGAGTGATCTCCCCTTCTGTGTGCTCCAACAGGCTTTCGACAGATATGCATGACTATGGTTTAATCATCGACGGAGCTGCGCTGTCCTTGATAATGAAGCCCCGGGAGGATGGGAGCTCCTCGGGCAACTACAGAGAGCTCTTCCTGGAGATCTGCAGGAACTGCAGTGCCGTGCTGTGCTGCCGGATGGCCCCCTTGCAGAAGGCGCAGGTCATGAACTGGCCTGCATGGGGAGAAAGCCTTTCCTTAATTCTCACTGTCTCTGATAGCCAAACACTTAGTGGGAGCATAGAAATGTCAGACCTGAGTCTTAGATTCTCCTGTCAGGCATGGATGGCCCCCCTAGAGAGGTGCTGTAGTGCCTCGGGAGTCTACCCCAAGGGCGTGGGGATGGGAGCTTGCATTCACGGAGCACCTTCTGTGTGCCAATGGGAGCCAGGATTTGATTTTCCTCCTTCCAACTCCAGACAGTCCTCTGCACTCTTCCTGTTCTTGTGGGAACATCCCCAGATTATCTTTTTAAATACATCAAATATATTGTGGAAACCATCCACAAACATGGTGTCTTTGGATGAGACCTGGCTTCACCTTAGCATGCTTCAGGTGCCTCCTTAAACTGAGCATAAGGAGATCGGGTCCTCTCAGATGATCCAGCTGTGAGGTCGAGAACATTATGCAGAGAGCCAGGCTCAGGGAGGTGCTCTTTTGAATGCAAGCTCATTCTCTAATTAACTAGATGTCCTGGGCATTTCTCAGAGAGGACAGGCAGTGGCTCTTTCTTTTGTACCCTCTTCTGTGTTTGACTCCATGTAAACCTTCTGTAATTGTTTCCCTGATGGCAGCCTGGGATTCCCAGTGCTATTTTGGGGTTCTCAATTGATGTATACAAATGCATGTATACTTACTTACATTTCTTGTCTTGAAATAAGAAAGCAATCTGTAGTTTTCCCTACTTCTCTGTCTCACCCTAATGCATTGTACTGAGCACAGTGCATGGGGGGAGTTCTAGGAAAAAATAGACTTGGAAATTGAGAAAGAGAAGTCATGAAGGGTGCTTATTACGTTGACATATTTGATTTTTAGGCATGATGGGTTTGAAAATTAAAATAGCATTAGAAACAGCTTCTTTTTAAAAATTGTTTGATACCAAGTGGTGTAGAATTACAGCCCCTTCCTGCAGACTGCATTGGGCCCAGGCTTTTCCAATACCTGGATATTACTCTAATTTTGTCTTCCTGCCTTTGTGAAGTCACGTCATTGATCATATCTTAGTTTCTATGAGACAGTTTGACCCTCTGTGGAGGAAATAGTCTGAGAGCTCTAGAAAGGAGCAGTGAGTACTTTCCTTCTGACCTACACCAGCTGTGTGTCTCATTTGGTTCTGCCCAGCTAATAACCCTAACGAAATCCAAACAGAAGATAAACTCTTATGTTTCTTTCTTTTCCAGATCGTTAAGTTAATCAAATTTTCAAAGGAGCACCCTATCACCTTAGCAATTGGTGACGGTGCAAATGACGTCAGCATGATCCTGGAGGCCCACGTGGGCATAGGTAAGTCATTGCTGCTGTAGTTGGGATCTGTGCTTTTGGTAGACACAGGCTGTGCCCTGTCATGCAGAGGGACCTTGGGCGTCCACCTGTGACTTGTGATTTTGCAAGCAGATACCAGGCAGTGGTCACCTGGGCTTAGCTGGCTCTGGTCACCAATATATGCACCCTTCATTCTAGGCGTCATCGGGAAGGAGGGTCGCCAAGCTGCAAGGAACAGCGACTACGCAATACCCAAGTTTAAGCACTTGAAGAAGATGCTTCTTGTTCACGGGCACTTGTATTACATCAGGATATCTGAGCTCGTGCAGTACTTCTTTTACAAGGTAGGGAGTCCTCTCAGTTTCAGCGCATGAGACCTTCGTTGGTGACTTAATGCTTCCGGTCATTTATCTGAGCGAATAAGTGACCATCAGAAAGTAGGTTGCTCCTGTAACAGGATTCCTGACACTTCTTGAGCCTCCTCAGACTTTAACATAGAGCCAGAAGGACAAGTTGTGTGACGTTTGAACAGTTCTCCCCATGCAGGCAGGTCCTTGCTGCTGACCTCTCTGTCACCACCACCTTCTTTCCCTCTTGTGTGTCTCCTTCTGCTGCCTGTGATCACCAGGGCCACACTATAGATGTGTACATTTCATTTGCCACACAGGGAAGAGAAGCATTTCCAAAACCCACTTAGCTGTCTTTTAAGATACTGGGCCTGCTTGTCATGATCCCCCATGTTAAACAGTGTATCACTGGTGGCTTATGAGCCCTAGGCAAGCCCGGGAGTCTCTGCAGAATGCCCTTAAACTAATAATGTTCACTGCTTGCCTTTCAGAATGTCTGCTTCATTTTCCCTCAGTTTTTGTACCAGTTCTTCTGCGGATTTTCACAGCAGGTCAGTCTGAGATCATAAGCCGGAAGTTCATCCAAACCGTGTCTTCCTTTCCAGTGGGTGGCCTTAGTGAGGGGACCCTCTTCAGGATGCAGACAGACCCCTGTAGAGATCCGTCGGGGCCCAGATGCACCCATCCTGTCGCTCCCAGGGCCTGTGAACAGACAAAGGGGAAAGGGCAGGCCATGGAGTTGAGGAGTTTCCAGCCCCAGACCGGATGTCAGGAGGCTAACATGTTTCTAAACACAGGCCTCTAATGACTTAGCTGATGGGCTCTGGGTTGGACTGTATGTGACAACCCACACCTGAACCTTCGTGGGCGTGGGGGTCACCTTGGAGTCTGAGACATTGAAGTATACAGGATGAGACACTGCACAATGTGTTCAGATGGACAGTGGCCAATGGCTAATATCTGGAGCCACCAGGGCCGGGATAATTGAAGCTAAATAATGTAAAAGTGAACAATTGTGAATTTTTGGGTCCAAGCTCTGCCTGGACCTGATGATTTTAAGCCTGATGATTTTAAACCTGATGAATTTACTTCATAAAATTTGAAATCTGTCTGTCCCTGTTGTCTGTCTCTATAGAATAGTGGCTTCTATGCATTTTAGGTGCATTTTCTATATTTTAAGCTTCTTTACTCAGGGCCTCTAGGGACATGGCTCAATTGGTAAAGTTCTTGCTGTACAAACATGAGGACCTGAGTTCAAATACCGAGCACCTATATCAAGCTGGATATAGCAGCATAAGCCAGTGGTAAGGAGATAGAGGCAGGAGGACATGTGCTAACCTCTCTAGATGAGTCAGCTCCAGGTCGCCTGATGCTGACCCCTGGCTTCTACTCATGCATGCATTTGCACGTACCTGCACACAGTACCACACTAAATCATGACATCAGTCTGTCAAAGCCATCTCGCAGCCCCACTCAGATCCCTTCTCCTTCTCGCAGACTTTGTACGATACTGCGTATCTGACTCTCTACAACATCAGCTTCACCTCCCTCCCGATTCTCCTGTACAGCCTCATGGAACAGCACGTGGGCATTGAAGTGCTCAAGAGAGACCCATCCCTGTACAGGTATGTGCCTCTTCCCTGGACAGGTGTGAGCCCAGGGGACAGAAAACAGTGCAGAAGCTGCCAGCCGGCTCCTGCTGCCATTTTTCCAAAGCTAGGGTGCACTTGCTTTCTCTGGATGGTGTCTAAAGAAATGGGGTCTGCACTAGGCTTGAATGCACGTGAACCTTTCTGCATCCCACTGCTTGGTGGAGGCAGGAAAGCTAGGAATGGAACCTGCATCTGTCCACCCCTGTGAAGTCATTTCTTAGTATTAATGAAATAACTTTTATATTATTCCAGAACTGCCCAGATTTTCTGACAGTTACAGTGTTTCTTTGTAGTCTTTTTCCATCCTAACACATAACAGGGAGAGTCCCATGCTCTTGAATTTCTCCAGGTAATAATGAATTGGATACTGCAATGCAGCAGCCAGTCAGTGGCTACATTGTCACCTTCACCTACCTCATTCAGCTTTCCCAGGACCTTTGTCTTACTCATGTTTGTACACACATGTGTGCTTACTTCTGTGAGGTTTCTTCAACTGTGTAGTTTCAGAAACCACATTAACATCGACAAGCTTCCCCTGTCCAGTTCACAGGATCTCATGTCACAGGCTTTGGGGACCTTTATAACATTGTTTAGCCATTTATGAGACCTTGAAACTTGAGGAATTGTGTGTGTGTGTGTGTGTACGTGTGTGTGTGTACGTGTGTTTGCGCGCACACATGCATACATGCACACTGTTTCAGACATGTACACAGAGGGAATGCTACGGACAAACCCCAGTGCAGTGAACAGGCCTAGAAACTCATGTAGGTTGGTAGCAGGTCCACGTCCAGTCTGCTGATCAGTGTGTCAGATAGTGCACGCTGTTGTGTGTTATTTCCATCCAGAAGACAAGAGCGCCCCAGGTTTCCTTTAACAGCATTACAGCTCAATATGGGAGAAATGTTCAGAAGCTAGTGGGGACTGAAGAGCGTGTGCGTTCTGCCCTGTTCGTCGTCATGGCTGAGGCTGTTTAGTACCGGGTGGACAGAGATGCTGCTGCGGAGTGGTCACAGTTTTCCCACTCTTTTCCTCAAACAGAGATATCGCCAAGAACGCGCTGCTCCGCTGGCGGGTGTTCATTTACTGGACATTTCTCGGCGTATTTGATGCTTTGGTATTTTTCTTTGGTGCTTATTTCATGTTTGAAAACACAACCGTGACCAGCAACGGACAGGTCAGTACTGAACGTCTTGTGGTTTCACTGATTAGTAATAAGCCCCACCCCGTGCGGTCGTTGTTGTAGAGCGGCCTTGTGAGAACAGCTCAGCCTGTGGTTAGGTGAGCACGAGAGAGGTGTGGCTCTGTGGAGCCATCTAGAGGAAGGGCCAAGTCACATTTGCCAGCTATAGGGGAAGGTCGTCCTGAGGTTTTCCTGACAGGTTCACAACATGCATCCCACTGTGAGCTAATCCCGGTGGCTCCGTGGTTTCATCCAGCCACCGTACTTTGGTATGGGAGTTAAGTTGTGTGAGTGTCGCTCCACGGTGTGTGAGCATGGCCCCTTACAGGGAGTAGCTCGTAGTTCTTAACAGACAGCACTGTTGTTTGCCGACTTTCTGGGGTCTGTTTTATTTGTATCTTGCTTTTTTCTTTTTGCCACTTGCTTCCCTTCCCACCTCAGATAATGACCACCAACACGAGCATGGTAAGACACCGTGGGTTTGTTCTCTCTGTGTTCTTGGAGTGCATTACAAATAAAATATTTCTTGAAAATATTTTCAAATGTGACTTTTTCTGTGTGCTTTGTTGGTAGAAAAGCTGTTAGCCATCCCTGCCCTCTACTGGCCTCAGAGCCCCCTGACCCTGCAAGGTGTCCTCTCCCTGAGTGTCTGTCAAGGCTTCGGTGAAAGGGGGTTGTTAAACTGACCCCATTGGTCTGCATGTCACTGTAAATAAAGGACAGGAGGCCTGCTGGGGACCTTGCTTTGGTGGCATACCTGTGCTACCTGGGGAGAACAAGAGGCATCCGGTAAACCTTAGACCTAGATACAAGTGCCGAGCCCAGCCTTAAGCCCGGTTAAGATCACAGGTTTTGATGTGGCTGTTCGAACAAACACTGCAACTGACGTCAGAGAAAACCCCTCCCAGCCATCACCTCAGGGAGTTTGCAGACAGAAATGCTTTTCATTCCTCGTTTAACCAACTCCCCTCTTCTCCCCCTGTTGTCTTCCCCGTGTTGATCCCTCAGAGTGTGAGGTTGAAGTGCCCATGTCTGGCCAGTGTGGGCCGTTTGTTTACCTGTGTATGTGTTTCTGTTGCCTGCTAACTAAAGGTTCTCCCACATTAGATCACAAATCAGCTTTTACTGTATTTGACCCTGAAGACTTGCTAAAATTCATTCCACCATTTTAAGGATTTAAGATTTTCTGTAGCTAACTGTTGTCTTTTATTTTAATCAAACAGTGCCTGCAGCCACTAGCCCATAAGCATGGTGACAGTGGTTGTCTGAGTCTTAGTTGACTCAGACACCATTTCCTTGTACGTCAGCCTTTCAGAAGCTTCCCGCCAACTCTTGGCGGCTCTTAAATGCTCAGGTCCCAGCACGCGGCTTTCTTTTTCACTCTCAAACCACATCTTGCCACTCACGCACCATTCATCTGCTGGTCGCTGGCGTGGGAGGTTGAGGAAGGAGTGTATACACGCTGGAAGCTGGTGTGAGCTCAGGTGATGAGAAGCAAGCCAGAGCCCAGACCCTGACCTGTGCCAGCACGTGGTATCCTCCTCAGCCCATGCAGTCTCTGAGTCTCAGAGGAATGATAGACATTCTCCAGAGCACTGGGGAAGGACTCCGGTGGCTCTCGGTTTTAGGAATGCAGCAGGGTGCTCAATTCCCAGGCCTCCAGAGACTGTGCAGTGTCTCCTGCAGGCCATGCTAGCTGTCATGTGTAGTGGCATCTCTGCTGCCTGTCACGGAAGCTCAGGAGTCCTGTGTTCCCTTGCCTGCATTCCTCAGACAGTCCTTTTGATCTCATTAGGTTTTGTGTGGGCTGAAAAGATGCAATGTCCTCACAGTAATGGACAGTTCTCACGTGTCCATTAGCCATTGTTAAAGTGTTCATTAGAACCAGAAATGGGACTAGACAGCAAGTGTTACAGGGATTCACCTAAGCCTCCTACTGGCTCTGCCACTGAGAAGGGCATTGTTGGCCACCTTCACTGCACACAGACTTATAGGCAGAGATTCGGCATGTATGATGCATGTCTTGACACAGAATTCCCAAAGGAGGCTGGCAGGGTGGACCCAAGCCAGTGCTAGTCAGGACAGCCGACACTAATAGTTGGCATGTGTATTCAGAGTCAGGCATGGTGGGGGCGTGTCAGACTGAGAGGATCAGAGACCAGTCAGACACCCCATGACACACGTTCAAGGTAGACACTGACACCTCTCTGTGAGGTGGGAAATCAAGGCCACTGCACAGGTTGGGGAGGTCAAGGAAGGGATTTGGTTTCCTGTCAGGCCCACCACCCTCGCCCTCCACCCTGGTGTTTGGGAACGTGAGAACATTAGATTTGCAGATCTCAAGTGCAGGAGTGCAGTCTGGTTTAGTGATCATGGTGCTCCACATGGATCCAGGATGCCTCTCCCAGGTTCTTCTGTTTAGAAGTTTATTCTGTTAGTGGCTGTTAAAGACCTTTCTAGAAAGATCTTCAGCGCTCCAGGGGACATTTATAGGACACACATAGTGTAAGAACTACAGAATTATGAGTAATTTCTTAAAATTTGTTTGTGGATCTTTTTTTTTTTCACTGACATCAAAAGCCATAAGTATTTCATTCTTCTGATGCTGGGGAGGCAGTAATGACCAGACTCTCGCTGACCCCCAGGATGTTCTTAGCCTGGTATTCAAGCTGGAATGTGACCGTAGTTAGGACACACCAGAGGATAGCTGAGATGGTCGTGAGCTGTGGCAAGTGAGCCCAGCATCCAGCTGACAGAATGGCTGTGGAGTTGACCCAGAGGGGTGCAGAGGTGGCATGACCATGACCTTAAAAAACAAAAGCATTGTCTATTATGGAATACTCTGCATGTAAAAATTAAATTGGCTTGGGTTTAAAGGCTTTAGTGACCAGAACTCTCTTTATGAGAGTGCTCATCCTCAGGACAGAGGAAGAATCAAGGAGACAGGACTGAAGAGACACCAGGTAGATAGGAAGTACTGGCTGAGGTGTTCCTTCAGGGCCAAGACTGTCAACCAGGCCACAGATGGAGGCATATTGTTGAGGTCCGTGTCAGTCAGACATACAGTAAAGGTGCTAATCACTCCATCCAGAGCTATCAGTGGAGGTATAATTATTAAGGTGTGTGCCAGTCAGACCATCTGTGTTGGTTTATTTTGGAGCTGTCAATCAATTTGACATCAACAGAAGTGTGCTTTTCGGGTTCTGAGGAAGTCAGAAGCAGGAACCTTAGGAGCATATGTAAAAAGGTGACATCCAGCCGAGATCCTTAGAGGATCTAGTCCAGAAGGTACTAAGTAACTTGGTAGGTGGCCAGAAGTCTCCCATTGGAAACAAACGAGGGAATGAAGGTTATACAGAAACAGCTCTGTGGCCATCTCTGTCCATCCCAGTGAGCGGGCACTCACTAACCAGGAGCCATGGGCACAGTATTGATAGTGTGTCCTATAGGACTTGGCCTGGTGTCCCACCACGGCCCCCCAGGTCTGCCATAATCCACCAAATCTGGGGAAATCTGGCAGTGGGGAGCATACGTTCCTCCTGGAACAGGTGTGGGAAGAGCAAGCTGTGAGTTTCCTTTGGCTTGGTGTGTGGTGCTGCTGGGGTCTGCATGTCCCATGTCATGTTGTCATATATTCTGTGCCAGCTGATGGCACAGAAGAGCGGAGACGGAGGCAGTGGGGCTCCCTTCTGCCAAACATAGCCTCTGCAGGGCAAAGCTTCCCCTGCTCTCTCTGCAGGTTGCCATTTGGGCCACACCTATAGCTTTCCATTGAACAGACCACAACTGCTCACTCTCCACCATCTTTGTGGGCGGCTGCCAGCCTACTGCCCCTGAGTTGAAAAACATTCCAGCCCTAGAGTTAAAGACACTCTTGTGTTAGTCACACGATGCGTTGGCATTGAAAGCCAGCCCCATGGTTCTTGTCCTGCATATCTTACAGCATCTCTGGTTCCTCCCTGCCAGTTGCAACAGTGCCCACTCTGGTGTCACCAAGTGGCCCCCGGCTAGAAGCCCCCCACATGAAGGTCTGATGGTTTTTATCCGTACTCTTTCCAAGCCCAGGAAGGAAGGTGTTTCTCTAGTAGGTTGAAGAACAGGGCACAGGTCTCTAAGCCCAAGGAGGAAGGCATTTCTCTAGAACTTTCCACTGACTCCCAGAACTCCTGCAGGCCATAAATTTTCACAAAACTCTAGCTTTGAGTATGATTGCTTCTTTTATTGAAACACAAGCATAGACAAAAGTGCTGGCTTCCCAGCCTTTTGATTCTTTGTGAAATAAACTTGAGGGACCTTCTGGGAACATTGAGAGGCCCAACTCATAGACCCCTACAGTGTCTACCTCGTGTGTTGTGCAGGGAACCGTTCTTGCGGATGGCTTCTGCAGACCAGCTTTCCCGAGAGAAAGGGCTCGCAGCCACTGCCCTCACACGTGTCTGTCTGTAGTTGAGAAGTGTGACACATGTCTGTCCCTCCCACTGTCCTGCTTGCCTTCCAGCTAGAAGGAGGGCAGCCCACACCTGCTGGTCTTCCCTCCTCGTTGATGAGTTGTTAGCAGCCATGGCTGTGACCAGGGGTCTGACTGTTGGAGGAGCAGCCTTTGTCCAATGTGTGCCACCTGCCCACCTCCTTCTTGTCCTGAGGTCTTCTCTTCCCGGAGAAGCCTTCCCTGATGCTGTCACTTCTGTGTTCTGGTGTCTCCTCTGGCTGTCTCCTGCAGTGTTCTAGCAGCTGTGCCCCTCAGCTGCGGGCATCTCCGTCACCAGCGGCAGGTTCCCTGAGTTTGTCCTTGAGACACAAGACCAGACCTAGGCAATAAAGTGGACAACGCTTCTATCTAGAAAGCCCCATGTGTATTGACTGCAGCCATGAGGTCTCTCCCTGCTGAATCTGAGACCTTAGGACTCCACACAGTGATGTGCTAGTGCCCAGCAGGGCCAGTGTTGGGGCCAGCAGGACACTAACTCAAGTCATTCCTGAGCCAGGCTTGGCCACTGTGCTGGCCTAGGGCCACCTGAGCTCTTGCCTTTTCTAGCTCAGGAAACTGTAGTACCCATCTCTTGAGACTAAGAGGTGTAGAGGCCATGGGTCATGCTCTCTAGCGTCCGTGTTCGGGATGAGGGAGGAGAGGTGAATGGCACCAGGCACTCACTTGGACTCTTGTCTCCACAGATGTTTGGGAACTGGACCTTCGGGACACTGGTGTTCACCGTTATGGTGATCACTGTCACACTGAAGGTGAGTCAGTGGTGTGGTCACACTCGGGCCATGCTAGCCTGCTTGCAGCTCTCCCTGAGCTCATGGAATCCTAGGTCCATACTGATGCTAGGTGTCCAGGCCATCTTCTTCAGCTCATATCCAGGACCCAGCAAATGCACATTGCCTCATACATGAACTTCCAGAATTGCCCGAAAGGAAATGAAGAGCTGAGTGTTTACAAAAGGATAGAATTTTTTTATGTATATGGATGTTTTGTCTGCATGTGTGTCGGTATGCCACATGGGTGCCTAGTGCCCTTGACTAAAGTTAACAGACGGTTGTGAACTGCCATGTGGGTGCTGGGAATCGAACTCAGGTCCTCTGGAAAATCAAGTCAGATTCTGTGAAGAACTTAATTATGAAAGTCTCTGAACCCATCACATTGGGTCTTTAAAAGTATGCAAACAAACTCCTCAAACCATCTTCTCAGGCAGCAGAATGTCATCATGGAAGATGCTTCTCTCTCTCTCTCTTCCCCCCCCCCTCTCTCTCTCACACACACACACACACACACACACACACACACACACACACACAAAACCAGAGGCCCCAGGTGACTTGGGACAACCTGGCCATCCCAGCAGTTTCCTCCTGTGGAAGCATGGGTTTGGGTTGCTGTGGTTTTCCTTGTAAGCTTTTGTAGGCATTCTGCCATCACGTTTCAGTTTTGCCTCGTTTTTTTTGTGTGTGTGTGTGTGTGATTTTCTGTACCTCCTTTCTACATGTCCGGGCGATGGCGCTGTTGACACCTCCTTCTCCTGCAGCTTGCGCTGGACACGCATTACTGGACGTGGATAAACCACTTTGTCATCTGGGGGTCACTGCTCTTCTACATCGTCTTCTCCCTGCTCTGGGGAGGGATTATCTGGTAAGAATCCTTAAACCCCACCCCCACCTCTGTCAAAGAGGGCCCAAGAGGTCCTGCACAACCTAAGGCCTCCTATGCTTGAGCGAAAGTTCCTGTTGGGACCTCTGTGTCCCCAGTGACACAGTGTGTTCTGGGCGCTCTAGCAGGCAAGGGTAAACTGTTGATCCCGGAGTCTGGAAGACACAGAACATGGCAACAGCAGAGTCTGCTCAGCACCCAGTTAAGGTCTCATGCTGTGTCGTGATGCAGTTGTGGCGGTGGGAACCAGTTCCTTGCAGCCTCATCTCAAAATGCCATTCTAGAGACTTACCTGTGTTCCTTGGGGACACAGACACATGTGGGGCAGGGTATGTGGCCCATTTTGCTGTGAAACCCTGACTGAAGGACATAGTATCCCCTTGAGCTGATTTAGCACCCTGGCCTAAAGCCCTGGAGAGGGCAAGCTCTGTGACCTGAGTGCCCAGGCTAGAGAGTAGTGGGAGGGGCAGCCACACAGAGTACGGCTTGTCTACATCAGTCCTCGCCTGGGTACGCTGACCTTGCCCCAACCCTGGCCAGAGCAAGGTTTCTTCATTCTGCATCATAGCCCTGAGGAGGAACAACTTTAGGAAGACCATCCTAGCCCTCTGCCTGACACTCAGCTAGGGGACCTTTGTGAGGGCTCCCAGAGCCCTGCAGAGGCAGGAACAGCTTTGGGTGTTCTCTAGCCCCCTTGCCCTAAAGCAGAGAGCCAGAACTGAAGTCCTAGGAGGCCCTAAGTCTGTGGGGAGGGGAGGCTATGGTGGGGGCCTGGGACCTAGGGCCTGTGCATCTCAGGACTGCTGCACCCTCTTTTCTGAGATGTTGGTATAAACAATGGGGATCTTCCCAGCAGCCCCGGCACCCCTTCCCTGAGCGTCTTCACCCCTCTCCATTCCATTCTGATCGTCACCTTATGTCTAATGCAGTCTGTATAGCCTTGAAGGTGGGGCTTTACTCTTTCCCTGGGCTGTACGTGGTGCCAGGAGATGGAAGGTGATTCCCAGGTCTTGGGAGGAAGCAGGGAGCATGGAGCCAAATAAGCCATCGTCAGCATACCAGGAGCTACCCCTGTTCCTCTATCTCCTTGGGAGGGAGGCAGGTGTTCAAAGCATTTGGTGGCCTCCGGGCCTGCTGGTCAACGGTCCAGCTGCCCGTGGGGATGCCGCTGCTGGTGTGAAGGACGCCCAGACGCTGACCTGCAGCATCCCCGTTTCCTGTGGGAAGCCGGTCTGCAGTTCCTTCCTCCCAATGCACAGGACTGAGAGCACCCAGAGTGGGGAGTTTGGGACCGGTATCCTTCCTGGCCAGGCAGTGTCTCACCAGCGTCCTCTCTCTCCTCCCAGGCCATTCCTCAGTTATCAGCGGATGTACTATGTGTTCCTACACATGCTGTCCAGCGGGCCTGCCTGGCTGGGCATCACACTGCTTGTCACTGTCAGCCTCCTCCCTGATGTCCTCAAGAAGGTCCTGTGCAGGCAGCTGTGGCCCACGGCGACGGAGAGGACTCAGGTATGGAGGCTGCCTAGCCTGGCCAGCCACTTTCCTCTCCCTGTCTTGTGATTGGGAAGTTACTAAGATGGTGCAAAAGGTCTGGGCATCATAAAACTGAGCAGCCCACACCTTTCTAGTTAATTCTGCAATGGCATATGTGTTAAGTGTTATATGAGATAAAATTCTAGGTGAAAAATGTTTAATTTTTTAGGCCTGAACAACCAACTGAAAAGTAAAAGAAATGAGAACAAAAATTAATATAAAAAATTATTTTCTGTAAATCCACAAAAAATGTAATCAGTTGTTACTTCAATCATTGAATTATACAGTGGGCTGTTGCCCCATGATATGGCACCTACTTAGCATGTTACAGAGCCTAATTGCTCATTCCCTAACTCTGGAGGGAAAAAAAACAGATTGTTATGTCAGTTTTAAGGATGTTGGATTTGATTTTGGCTCAGTCAGCTTTACAAGAGGAAGAAATTATGGGGACACTGCTTCCCCCTCCCAAACTGGCCAGCAGGCTAATGCCCGGCAGGACCCTGCCACCAGGGTGTCTGGGGGTTCACCAAGACACAGTTTCAATTTCACCCATGAAAGTCTTAATCTCTGGATGAGGCAGGGCTGTGGGGTCTGCATGTTCAGCAACCTCTCCGTAACTGTTCACAGCCTGACAACACAGGGCTGTGTGCGCAGAGGGACAGAGCTGCACAGTTCCTGCAGGAGAGAGTACCTGGCTACCTGCCACCCACGTGTGGAACCTGAGTCTAGCGTAGAGCCAGCTGGCCTTGTTTGGGGTGGGAAGCAGATACCCCTACCAGGGGACAGGTGAGCTCCACCGCCAACCCCACCTTCTTGGTCATCCTTCTCGGGACTCAGTGCTGCTGGTTCTTCCCTGCTTTATGCCTCCTGCCACAGTTATATAATCTGCTGTTAGAGCTCTTACCCATGCCTCTGTTCATGGGCGTGGACGTTTTCACCCCGTGCTGCTAGGAGCAGTCCCAAGGTAGTGCCTCGCAACACAGTGATGCCAGGCAGTGCTAACTCTAGGGCTGGGGACCCCTCAGCTCACAGAGTGAGAGACAACAGGAAGGGTTACCCACCTGCCACTGAGACCCACCACCACCACCTTCTTCCTGACCCTCCACCCCAACCCCCCCCACACACACACACACAGAGCAGTTGGTCCTGGAGCTGTCAGTGCTCAGCTGCTCTGGTTTCCGTGGGAATGGCATTCATTGTTCCTAGCCCGCAGCCCAGCCTGTAGGAATTGGAAGGCTGTCCAGTGACTGTCTTCCACACAAGCCTGAAGTCTTTGCTCTTCACAAGTACAGCTCCGAGGTTGACATGTGTTCTCCTGACATCAGCAGTGTTGCAGTAGACATGACACAGTGGTTGCATGGTCATAAAGATTCTCTGTACCCAGGGATACATGGACATTATGTTCACATTACCAGGACACTGGATGAGTGTGTTTTTTAGGATGCCTTACGCACAGAGGTGCTCTGTTCATGACAGCGCCCCCTGTATAAGGACAGAATGAACACGCATGCACTCCTCATGACCACTCCCTGTGTGTGGGGATGTGGGAGCACACATCCAAGGCAGTGTCTTGACACTTGGGACACTGGGACATGTGGCCATGGCAGCATGTGTGCATAGAGTTCTGAGCCCAGAGAAAGGCGCAGCTCAGGACATCTCCTGGGTTTCCTGGCTACAGCATAGCTGTGGTCTCAGAAGCACATTCTGCCTGAGGCCCACATGTTGATGGACTGTCAGGTGTTTGACTTGATGCATTTGAGCAAAGAGTTCGGCTCTGCAGGGTAGCAAGGGCACCTCCCTACAGGACTCCTGAGATTTGACTTCTACTGTGGAACTCTGCTTTGCGAGAATCTTCTGGAATGGCCTTAGAATGAGGAGCTTTCCCATCCCCTCCATCAGTGGTGAAGTCCATTTCTGTGTTGAGATTTGAAGCCTATAAGAAGTGTCTTACTATAAACTGTCCCCAGTTGCAGCACAGGAGGCATAGAGCTAGGAGGAGGCAGGTGTGGACCAGGGTAGGGAGGAGTGGGCCAGTGGGGTCCTGGCCTGGCAGCACCCAGATGCTAGGGCAGTGGTGTTACTGTGAGCTAGGATGTTTGCCTGTAACCAACTTACCTCTTGTCTCTTTCTCCTGCCTTCCTGGCCCTCCACTGCTTTGCCTAAATAACCACTACTTGTTCAAACACTCTGCGCGCGTGGGCTCCGGACTGCGGCCTGCAGGCCAGGAACAAGTGCCTTTCTGTTGAGCAACCCACCGTCTTTATGCTTTCCCAGACCGCCAGTGGTCTGAGTTTCTGACCAACAGGTGACCATCTCTGCCTTCTTGCATGCTGGGGTGATGGCCACAGGACCAGGTGGGAAGAGCTTAGCGTTGAGGCCACCCAGTGTGCTCCCTCATGCTGTCACTCACCACAGTTACTTCGTCAGGTGACCCGGCGACAGTGCCCCATCCACGCGGGGTGCACTAGTCATGGGCTTCGTCTT